ACAGATGAGGAAACTGAGGCAAACAAGGTTAAGTGACTTGTCTGGGGTCCCAGAGCTAGTAGTAAGTATCTGAGGATGGATTTGAACTCAGGAATATCAGTCTTCCTGACTTCAAGCCTGGTGCTCCATCCACTGTGCCTTCTAACTGCCCCAATTTTCTAATAACTAGAACAATAGAGAGAGTGTGTGTGTGAGAGGGAGTAATGGGAAAGTGGGCCCAGAGGGTTTATCATTACCCTTAGGAACTTCATTTGGGATTATGCTGGGAGCATAGTAGCTAGAATGCTGGGCCTGGAGTCAGGAAGACTTGAGTTCAAATCAGACCTCAGACACTCACTAGCTGTGTGACCCTGGGCAAGTCACTTAACTCTCTTTGCCTCAGTTTCCTCAGTTGTAAAATGGGAATAATAATTGGTTGTTGTGAGGATCAGAAGAGATTTTTGTAAGAAGTGCTTGGCACTATGCCTGGCACATAGTGCGTCCTCTAGAAATGCTTAGTTCCTTTTCCTCCTACCTGATTCCAATGAACCCTTGGTGCTTTGTCCCTTTCTGAGAGCTCAGCACCTGTCCGAGGCTGGGATATTTGCCTTATTCCATTAAAGGGCCCTGGCTCTATCCTCATGCACATCGAGTTTAGTCCTTGGGGAGCCTCGTCCCAGTGACGAGTTAATCCTTTTCTTTCACCCTCTGGCTTTTTAAATCCTTGTGCCTAAGCCCTGGACAAAATCCCTTCAAGAAAGTTTAGTTTGGCTTAAGTCTAGGGCTTCCCTAAAAGGGAGTAGGAAGGCACTCAATGTACAGCACAAATCAGGTGTAGGACAGCTTTTTACTTTCTACACACACACACACACACACACACACACACACACCCCTCATAGGCACCCATTGTACTGAACTCCATATCAGTCATCATCTTCTTTGAGAAATGTTGTGATCACTGCAGGGAGCCCCTCTCCCAGTGCAGCTGGTGCTGACGGAGCTGTCCAACCTCAAACTCATAAGGTTACCTTCTAGGAAGTAAGCTTCCTTCTCAGGCTTGATGGTAGATCCCCTCTGCACAGAGAAAAAAGGTAAGCAGGAGAGGCAGCCAGAGCCTGGGGGTGACAGCTTGGGCTCTCTTAGAAGGGCCCATGCTCCAGCTCCCAGGTGGGAACAACCACAACGGCTATAAGGGGAGAGGATTCCCTTCCCCCTCCCCCACAGGATGTTCTAGAGAGAGAGAGTTTTAGGCCACATGTTCTGGACAGAGGAAGAAGAGAATGGGAGAGGAAGTTGTCTTTCCCTTTTCAGCCTGTGAAGCGGGTGACTCTTCCTGGCTCACTGGGCAGTCCTCTTTTGAGGCACACTCCCTCTCTCCCTATGCTGCCATTAAGGGGCCCTGGGGAGTGCAGTGTCATCCCAAAACTCCAAGTCCTTTAGTGCTGACTGTGTGTCCTTCCAGACTGGCCCCAGAGATTCTGCAAGCTCCACAGAATGGTTCCCATAGACGCCTCCTTACATATGCTCCATGGAGTGTATGCCAATCCGACTCCTCCTACATGTGGAAGGACCTTGGAGAGCAGCCAAGGGATGGAGACCCTTGTGGTAAAGCCATTGGAAGCCTTAGCATGTGAGCTTCAGCCTGGAGAAGAGGAGATTCAGGGTGGGCCATGATTGCTTTGTTGAAATAAAGGGACAAGACAAAGTTTGATGACATGTCCAATGATTGGAGCTGTGCAGGGACCAGTTGGCTGCCTCCTTAGGTAATGAATGCTCTCCCAGGCCTAGAGGGGTTAATCAGGAGGCTGGATGGCCACTAGATGAAGGTGTTACAGAAGAGACCTTCTACGGGTGAGGGTTTGGCCCAGATGACTTCTAAGGTCGTTTCTGACTCTGAGGTTCCATGATCCCATGGCCCCCAGGGGATCTTGTCTCCTCGTCGGCTCAGACAGGAATTGCTGAAGCAACCAATTCTCTTGTAATGAAAGAGCTCCCCTTCCCCCACTACTTTTTCTGACTTTAATATTTCATGAGGATGAGGTGCAGCAGCCAAGGTCCATAAGAGAATTTTAATGTTCAAAAATATTCCTCTGGCTCATCAGCCTGTGGAGCAGAGAGGGAAGTTAGCACTAAAAATAAAATAGGTAACAGGGCCAGAACACAGAAAGGACCTTTCTGAGAATGACATTTCCGGAAGGCAGGCCCCTCTTCTGTAGGTGGCTAACGGACCCCTGAGGCAGGCTGGACCTCTGCCTTGGAGACTTTGCCCATGCCATTTTCCTAGCCCAGAATGTCCTCCTGCCTTAATCCCCTGAACTTTAAGAGATTTACTTTTAAAAAAGTCTCTCCCCTACACTCCCCATGACTGCCAAGACTAACGGTGGTGGCTCCAATAATAGATTTAGAATTTGTTGAGGTCTTAGAGGCCATCTTAGAGATGAGGAGATTAAGGCCCAAGGAAGTGAGGTGAAGGTCACATAGATTAATAAGTGGAGAAGTCTGCATTTAGACCCAGGTCCTCAGATTCCAAATCTGGTGCTCCTTGTCTTTCCAACCACTTTAGCATGGAAAGTGTTGAGGCCAAGGTTTGAGCTAAGAAATGACTTACTGAGCATGTACCATGTATGCGCCATGCTCAATTCTAGAGGACGTTCAAAGTATAGAGAGGAGATAGTCCATGCCCTCACAGACCTCACAGTCTAGTAGGGGGAAAGGACAAAACCCCAGATAATTCCAGTGTGCCATGTCATACAAGTGAACAAGAAGAGGAAGGGGGGTAAAAAAAGGGCTATGTAGTACATGAGAGGGAAGGTTGTTGGCCAAAAGGAAGCACAAGAGGGCTTCCTGGAGGAGATGGCACTAGAGTTCAGCCTTCAAAGATAGGCAGGGATAAGCACCCATTCAGGGGCCTGTAGAGGCTGAAAGTCTGGATTGGACAACCTCCAATGGCCCTTCCTGCCCAGTAATTCTAGGTGCTTTGCTTTCCTGTCTGTCCCTTATACTGAAGGCAGGGGCAACTCCTCTTCCACCTGTATCCCCCTAGGGACTCTAAACCAGGGCTTGTGCTCAGTGAATGTAACTGATGTAGTCATGTGGCCAGTCAATTAGCATTCATTAAGAACCTACTTTTTGTTAGGCACTGTACAGTGGGCACTGGGTCATGTGTGCATGTGTATGTGTGTGTGTATGACTGTGTATGCATGTTTATGCGTGTGTGTGTGTGTTTATGCATGTATGTGTGTGTATGTAGCCTGAAGCTTCCTTGAGCTGTTTATCCCTCCAACTTGAAAATCTTGGAGGCAAGGATATTATACACTTGAGGGGTGGTGGTGATTCAGAGGAGAGATGGGGAGGGATCGGGGCAGGGTAGAGGTGTGAGACTTCTCCAGAGATAGGAGCCAATGAAATCCCTGAATATCCCCAGCCTTCAGGGGCTGAGCTTCTCATGTCCGTCAATGGCAGCATCCTCCAACATCACTGATTTGAGCATATTCAAAGCCTTGCTGTGACCTGTGATTCTTCTCTGGTCCTCCTCCAATCCCTTATCAAGTCCTGTGGATTCTGGACCAGCACTATCTTGTTCTACAAGGCTTGGAAGGGGACAGGGGAGGGTTCAGGTATCCCAGGCATGGGAATAAATGTGTGAGCAAAGATGGGAAAGGTCAGAGAAAGAAAGAAAATAAGAAAAGGTCAAAACACTTTCATATGAAGCACAGTAGAGATAAGTGGAGAAGACCTGGGAGAGGGGGAAGGCTAAAACCTGTCCTTAAGTAATGAAGGGTTCTCATGTGAAAAAGGAATTTGATGGCTCTGTTTAGCCCCAGATGATGGTTCTAGGAGCAAGAGGGAGAAGTTGAACAGAGGCAGGTTTGGACCCAATAGAAGGAAAAAACCTTCCCAACCATGACAGCCAACCCAAAGTGGAATGGGCTGCTTTGCTAGTCAGTGATTCCCTATGCCCGGTAATTTCCCAGAAAGCTGGATGACCACTCGTCAGTGAGCATGGAGCATGGGCCAGCCCAAGCTCTCTGCACATCAACGGCAGGGAGGCTGTCGAGGGAATACCTTCTCACATTAGTGTTGCAATGAATGAATTCTGATGTCCTGATGATTCTAGGATTCCCTGAGCTGGACCAGATGGGGTGGTGAAGATTAAGATAGGCCTCGCAGAATGGTTAGGATTTGGACAGGAGATGGGGAGAGGAAAATATAATTCCAGTTGGGCCCAATTGCAGAGTCAGAAGGAGGTTGTCAGATTGGGGATGGGCAAGGAGGAGAACCTTGGCCTGACACGGGTGAAGTGAAGGCTGTGCTCTGGGGAGGCTCAGGAGAGCTGCTAGGGCTGGACTGTGGAAAGCTGGACTACCAGCTTAAAGAGTGGGTCTCACCTGCTTTCCTTCTCTAATGAAAACAAACATTGCCACGTGCTCCCAGGTGGAGGAGAGGCCAGACAGTTTTGGTGTGCAGCCCTCATGGCTCCCAGCTAGAGGAGAGTGGGCATAGGGTGGCTCAGGATGTGCCATAGCGTTCAAACTCTAGCTGGAAGGCCCAGGGGCCCTCAGGGCTCAAACATACACAGATTGTTAGACAAATTGCTGACAGTACAAATAGGAGATTGTCCTGGCATCCCAGGAGGAGATGATGAGATGCTCTGGACCAGCGAAGTGAGGGTATTTCCTGAACGGCTTAATAGGGGACAGGAATGGAGGGCAGATACCCACGTACACAAGAGGCTGGGGGGAGGGAGAGGACAATGTGCGCTTTTCAGGTTTCTCAGTTTTGATCTACATGTATCTTGGGGGCCTGGAGCCCACTCGGTCAAACCAGTTTTGTCTGGCTCATCTGTCAAACAGACAAAAGGTATAGACATGAGGTACTGCTTCACAGGATTGTTGTGTGGCCAAATGAGACAATGTGGGTCACAGGCAATGTAATCTGTGAAGCCCTGGCCAGATGAGAGCTGTCCTTGGGCTAATTTTAATGCAGGCATGCAGTGGCGGCTCATTTCTTCTCTCTTCCAGGCACAGGCTTACTCCAGGAAGTGGTGTACTTGGTGAGTCAGGGGGCTGACCCGGATGAAATCGGCTTAATGAACATCGATGAACAGCTTCCTGTCTTGGAGTACCCTCAGCCAGGGCTGGACATCATCAAGGTGACTGGCCCTTCTCTGTCTACACCCACGTCTCAGTCACAGTCTGCTTCAGTTCAGGGGAAGAAACGTTCGGGGAATACCAGCCGTGGGTGCCCCTGCTCTTGGTACTGGGTTTATACCAAACTTCACAGTGCACTGAAAAGTGCCAGACTTGGAGTCAAGAGGGCTCTGGGCTCCATGGTGCCTCTGTAGCTGGCTAGCTGTGTGACTGTGGAGAAGTTAGCGAACGGCTCTGAGCCTCAGTTTTCTCATCTGGGAAATGCGATCCTTGTAGCACTTACCTCAGAATTAGGGCTGTTGTGAGGATACATACAATGACAGGCTCAATGTAAAGCACTTGGTAAATCTTAAAGCCCAATATTAACGCCTATTACTATTATTAGTCCCTGACATCATAGAATTCATAGTCTAGCAGGGGCATAAGATGTAAACACAAATAGCCATAATGAAATTGAAAATCTAGTGATAATATATTTTATAAAATTTTAAAAATATTGAAATTGATATGAAGTCTTATAAATATTTCATAAAATAATATAATAAATAAAAATTAAGGAGCTTCCTAAGAGTTAGAGCCACCCTAAAGTGGAATGGATTGTCTGAAGAGGTGGCAGTGATGATCTGGCAGTAAGGTGAGCAGTGATTCCTTTGGTGAGAGAGTTGGCCTTGAGCACCACTGAGGTCACTTCTAATTTTTTTTTTTTGCAGCAGTCAGGGTTAAGTGACCTGCCCAGGGTCATACAGCTAGTAAGTGTCAAGTGTCTGAGGCCAGATTTGAACTCAGATCCTCTTGGCTTCAAGGCAGGAGTTCTATCCACTGCACCACCTAGTTGCCCCTAGTTCTTAAAATCGGTGATTCTGTAAAATGTCCAGCGTGTCCTACTCAACCTTCCTTTCATCAACTTCTTAAGGGCTGGGACTGTGTTTGCACATAGTAAGTGCTTAATAAATGTTTGTTGATTTGAACTGAACCATGTAAGGAAGGTACAAGGGAAGTGCTCAATGAGGTCTCATCATTTGTATTGTGAGTTATAGGTGGAAAAATTTAAATTGGTGATATACAAATCAATCAACAAACATCTATTAAGCACCTACTATTTGCCAGGCACTGTGCTAGGCACCAGAGACACAAAAACAAAGAGGAGATTCCCTTCCCTGAGGGAATTTATGTTTTATCAGAGGGTGAAATCAGGCTCGTAAATGAGCATATACAGAATGTGTACAAATAAGTACAGGTCAGCAAGGGCCCCCCAGATTTCCCGATGCTGGAGCCTGGAGCCAGGAACACCTGAATTCAAATCCTATCTCGGACACTTACTGGCTGTGTGCTACTCAGCAAGTCACTTAACCACTGTCCACCTCAGTTTCCTCATCTGTAAAATGGAGATGATAATAGCACCTCCCTCCCAGGGTTGTGAGGCTCAAATGAGATCTTTGTAAAGCTCTTTGCAAGCCTTAGAGGGCTCCCCAAATGCTATTGTTGTTGCTGTATCACCTGTCACATTAGCATTGCTCGTACTCCCTACCTTACAGAGTTGTTCAAGGAAAGCTCTTTGTAAATACTCACACGCTGCAAGCATGATTCTACCCATTCTATGGAGGAGCAAACTTAGGCTCAGAGCGGTGATATGACATTAGGTTATAGGATTCAAAGGCGGATGAGTCTTCAGAAGTCATTGAGTAATCTGCAGAAGAGAAAACAGGGCAAACATTTGCTTCTTGCTTCACAGGGCTGTTGTGAGGAAGACCTTCTAAAGCCGTGAGTTATTATTGATTATTATTAATAATTATTCTGACCAGCCACATTCTCTTGCAGGAGCTCACATCCCCTCGACTCATCAAGAGCCACCTTCCCTACCGCTTCCTGCCTTCAGACCTCCACAACGGTGACTCCAAGGTAACGGCCCCCAGGGGCTTCCTCAGCCACCAGGGCCAGTCCATAGGAAGTCAGGGAGAACCTAATTTGTCTTCCCATTGGCAGGTAATCTACATGGCTCGCAACCCCAAAGACCTGGTGGTGTCTTACTATCAGTTCCACCGCTCTCTGAGGACCATGAGCTACAGGGGAACATTCCAAGAATTCTGTCGAAGGTTCATGAATGATAAACGTAAGAATGCACAACTTTGAGGGATGGACCAATTATGACTGGCTTGTCACTCATTCATTCCCCCAGACATTTTTTCAGCCCCTCCTGTATGCAAAGCCTCATATTGGGCGCTGGGAACAACACAAAGGCAGATAAGTTATAATTTCCACCCAAATGGAACTCCCAGGCTAGCTGGGGGTGATTGAAGAGGAACGTAATCACTCTATTAAGGAGCACCAGTGGTTCTGGGCTCCCATCAATGGGGTGTAGATCGCAGCCCCTCCAGGCCCTCCCATCCCGTGCTTGTCCAGGACACTGCAAAAGGGAGGCCACCCAATGTGGCCTCCCCCCGGGCTACGAGCAATTTGGAGGGTGGGCTGTCCACTCTCAGCAGCCCTTCTCTTCTGATCTGCCATTTCTTTTATGACATCCTTCACCCTCTTCTTCCTCCTTCACTTCTCGTTGGTCACACCTACCTCTCCATTGTCCTTTAGGTAAATCCCAACTTCAAGTTTCTAGAGACAGAATGTAAGCAGGACAAAGGCATAGGAGAAGACTGAGGAAAAAAAGGGCATTTCCAAGCAGGGGAACCAGATCATGGAGGACCTTCTAGACAAAGTGGCAGCTTCGCTTCGCTTTGCAGAATGAAAAAGATCCAAGGAGGCAGAAATGGGGTTTGGAAGAGGGTGTTGCAAACACAGGGAAAATCATGAGTGAAGGCAAAGGGCTTGCAGAGGGAGGGGTATGCTCAGGGGTTGGTAAAAGATACAGGGTGAGTACCCAGGGGAGAAGATGGAAAATATGGGGCAGCAGTGGGTGGTAGGCCTGGAACTCTATTCCTCGTGTCACACAGTGTTCATGTCACATAACTCAAATAACCTACGTGGAATTTCTAAGTGCCCTTTTGTTCCATGTGAACAGGACTAAAAATACTGTGCGACCAAAAACTTGAAATAAGCATTGTGAGCCACCGCATCAGGACTCATGAGCCTTCTCCCAAACCCATCCCTCCTCCAGATCTCCCTGTTTCTCTTAAGGGCACCACCATCCTTCCAGGAATTGAGGTGTGCCCCTGAGCTATTCTTGACTTTCTCCTTTTTTTCACTCTCTATATCACACCAGTGACCAGGTCTTGTCAATTCTGCCTCCATGGCATCTCTTCTATCTATGGCCTTCTCTTCACTCACATTGCCACCACACCACTCCAGGCACTCATCACCTCTGGCCTGTCTTATGACCGCAGCCCCCTACGGTCTTCCTTCACCATTGATCTTCCACAGCCAACAAGCAGTGTTAGTAAGACACAGCCTGAGAATGTCATTCTCCTACTGAAAATCTCCACGGTGCAGAGATAGAAGTGGTGGACTTGAAGTCAGAAAGACCTGAGATCAAGTCTTGCTTCAGGCACTTACTGACTGTGTGACCCTGAGCAAATCCCTTTAATCTTTTAGCCTTATTTTCTCTTCTATAAAATGGGGAAAATAAAGCACCTGCCTCCTAGAGTTGTAAGGATCAAATGAGATAACATATGTGAAGTTTTTGCAAGTGTTGAACTGCTATATAAATGTGAGGGTGATGATTAGCGATAATAATAACCAAAATCTTCAGTCGTTTCCTATTTTCTCTAGCATAAAATAAAAACTGGCATTTAATGATCTCCCCCCTACCTTTCTAAATGCCTTTCACATAATTTCCCTTCAAGCCCTCTGTGCTCCAGCTAGTATGGCCCACTAGCTATTTCTTAAACTTGATAGGCCACTTCCCATGTCCCTGCCAGAATTCCTGGCTTTTTCCAGGTGCCATCTCTCACAAGGAGTCTTTCTTGCCTTCCCTCTCCCCACCTCCACAAGGATCCGTGCTCTCTCCCTCCTGAAATGACTTTGTATTTGCTCATCAGTGAATTTTTTATATTCCTTAATTAGCATATAAGCTCATTGAGGGCAGGAACTATGTTGTTCTGGTCTTTGTAACTCTAGCTCCTTGAATGGTGCTTGGCACAAAATAGAGGCTTAATACATGTTTACTAAAACTGAAGCCCCTTACCATCTTTCTGCTTCACTTTTCTCTCCTGAAAAATGTGAATATTAATTGTTCTGCTATCTACAGGGCTATGGTGAAGAAAAATGCTTAGAGAATGTGAGTTATTTTCATTTGTTCTCATGCAGACTAGGACAACAGTTAACCTTGCTGCCTCTAGTCAATCCCTCCCCCAAATTCAAGCAATTTTCCGAGGTTACCACTGTGACCAGCACCAGGCTGAAACCTTCAATGACTCCTCACTGACTACTGAATAATGGGAACTTTCAGCTCCTCCATTCAAGGAAGCCCTTCTCAAGACGATTCCTTTTGTAAAATTCAATTTTATTTCCAGTTCCAAATTCTCTCCCTTCCTCTCCTCCTTCTCCGCCAATTGAGAAGGCAAGAAAAACTAAGTCTATTACAAATGTGTACAGTCACGTAAAACATATTATCGTATTACCATATTCAAAAAAAAAAAGAAAAAAAAGGAAAAAGAAAGAAAATGTGCTTCCATCTGCTCTCTGAGCCATCAGCTCTCTACCTGGAGGTGCATGGCACGTTTCATTATGAGTTCCTTGGAGCTGTGATTGATCATTGTGTTAATCAGAGTTCCCAAGTCTTTCAGAGTTGATCATCCTCACAATATTGTTGCTATTGTAGAAACTATTCTGGTTCTGCTCATTTCATTTTGTATCATAATGTCTTCCTGGGGCTTTCTAAAACCATCTCCTTCATTAGTTTCATACAGCACAATAGTATTCCATCACAATTATATACCACAACTTGTTCAGCCATTCCCCAACTGATGGACATCTCTTTAGTTTCCATTTCTTCCAGTTCCAGCAAAAAGAGCTGCTATAAATATTTTTGTACATAGGGGTCCTTTTCTTCTTTTTTGAATCTTGTTGGGGTATAGACCTAATAATAGCAATATCACTGGGTCAAAGGGCATACACATTTTAATAGTATGTTGGGCTTAATTCAAAATTGCTTTCTGGAAAGACTAAGCAGTTTACAGGTCCACCCACAGTGCATTAGTGTGCCTATTTTCCAACATTTCCACAATTTGTTATTCTCCTTTTTTGTCTACTTAGTCAATATGATAGGTTGAGATGGTACCTCAGAATTGTTTTATTTTGCATTTCTCTAATTATTAGTGATTTAGAACACTTTTTCATATGGTTACTGATAGGTTGGATTTCTTCCTCATATCCCTTGACCATTTATCAATTAGGGAATGGCTTTTATTCTTGTAAATGTGGCTTAGTTCCCTATATATCTTAGAAATGAGACCTTTATTAGAGAAACTGGCTCCCAATTTCCTGCTTCTCTTCTAATCTTACCTGCATTGGTTTTGTTTGTGCAAAATCTTTTAAATTTTATATAATCAAAGTTGTCCATTTTACCTCCTGTGACCCTCTCTATCTACTGTTCGGTCATGAACCCTTCCCTTATTCATAGACCCATAGACAGGTAATTTCTTCCATACTTCTCCAGTTTACTTATGATGTCACCCTTTATGTCTGGATCATGTACCCAGTTGGAACTTATCTTGGTATATGATGTGAGCTTATGGTCTACCCCTAGTTTCTGACTGTTTTCTTAGTTATCCCCATAGTTTTTGTCAACTAGTGAGTTCTTGCCCTAGTAGCTGGCATCTTTGAGTTGATTAAAACTAGCTTATGGTGCTGCTTTGCTTCTGTACCTAATTCTGTACCTAATTTATTATGCTGATCAACCTTTTTATTTCTGACCTAGTGCCAAACTGTTTTGACAATTACAACTCTGTAGTGTATAGTTTTAGATCAGGTACTGCTAGGTGCCCTCCCCTCCCCCTCTCTCTTTCTCCCTCCATTGATGCTTTTGCTATTCTCGGCCTTTTTTCCCTCACTACAGGATTTTCTGTTTAGTTCTATAAAGTAGTTCTTTGATAGTCTGATTGGTATGAAACTGAATAAGTACATTGATTTCTGTAGGATTGTCATTTTTATCATACTGGCTCAGCCCATCTGTGACCAATCAATTTCTCCAATTATTTAGATCTGTCTTTATTTGTATAAAGAATGTTTTCTAATTGTGTTTATAAAGTTCCTGCACGTGTTTTGGCGGGCAGACTCCCAAGTGTTATATGTTGTCTACGTTATTATAAATGGAATTTCTCTTTCTATCTCTTCCTGCAGGATTTTGTTGGTAATAGGCAGAAATACTGATAGTTTATTTTTATATCCTGCAACTTTCCTGAAGTCATTAATTTTTTCAATTTGTTTTCTAGTTGATTCTCTAGAGTTCTCCAAATACATCATCATATCATCTACAAAAAAGTGATTTTTGTTTCTTCTTTGCCTATTCTCATTCCTTTAATTTCTTTTTCTTCTCTTATTGCTATATCTAGCATTTCTGGTACAATATTTAATAGTAATGGTGATAATGGATATCCTTGCTTCCCTCTTGTTCTTATTGGAAAAGCTTCTAGCTTGTCCTCATCACAGATAATATTTGATCTTGGTTTTAGATAGATACTACTTATCACTTTAAGAAAAGCTCCATTCATTCCTATGCTTTCCAGTTTAAACAGGAGTCAGTGTTGTATTTTATCAAAAGCTTTTTTTTAATCTACTGAAATAATCATATGTTTTTTGTTGTTTTTGTTGTTGATATGGTCAATTATGCTTGCTTTTCTTAATATTGAACCAGTCCTGTACTCCTGGCATAAATCCAGATTGATTATGGTGTATGATTTTTTGGTGATGTATTACTGTATTCTCTTTGCTTGTATTTTATTTAAAATTTTTTTCACATTAATATATACTTAGGGAAACTAGCCTATAGGTTTCTTTCTCTGTTTTGACCCTCCCTGGTTTAGGTCTGAAGACCATATTTGTATCAGAGAAGGCATTTGGTTAGGTCCTCTTCTTTACTTATTTTTTCACTTTATTAGTATTGGAATTAATTGTTCTTTAAGTGTCTGGTAAGATACATTTGGAAATCCATCTGGTCCTGGTTTTTTTTCCCCCCTTTGGGAGTTAATTTATAGCTTGTTCAATTTATTTTTCTAAGATAGGGCTATTTAAGAATTCTATTTTCTGTTCTGTTAATCTGCTAATTAACAGTTTTGTAACTATTCTTTGGGCAGCTAGGTGGTGCAGTGGATAGAGCAATAGGCCTGGAATCAGGAAGATATGAGTTCAAATCTGGCCTCAGACACTTAGCAGCTGTGTGACCCTGGGCAAGTCACTTACCCTCTATTTGCCTCAGTTCTTCATTTGTAAAATTGGGACACATTAGACAAGAAAATGTTTGCCATTCCAGTATCTTTGCCAAGAAATCCCCATGGACGAAATTCATGGGGTCACATAGAGTTGGACATGACTGAACAACAACAACAGCAACAACAACAAATATTGATATTTAACTTAGATTCCCAAGTTTATTGGCATATAGACGGGTGAAATGGCTCCTAATAATAGCTTTTATTTCTTCTTCATCTGTTGTGAATTCAACTTTTTCATTTTTTATATTGGTGATTTGGTGTTCTTTTTTTAAAATCAAACTAACTATGGCTTATCTATCTGAGTGTTGTTGTTGTTTTAAAAACAACCCAGTTCCTAGTTTTATTTATTATTTTTTAAAACTTTCTCTTTAGCTAATTTCTCTTTTGGGTCTCAGGATTTATATTTTAGGTTTTAATTTTCTAGGGGTGTTTAATTTGTTGATTTTCTAATTTTTTAAAGTGCAAACCCAAATAGTTGACTTACTCTTATTCTCTTTTATTGGTATGTTTAAAGATGTAAAATTTCCCTTAAATAGTGCTTCAGCTGCATCCTGCAAATTTTGTTCCATTGTCTCATTGTTGTCATTATCTTTAGTGAAATTATTGAGTTTCTATGATTTTTTCTTTGACCTACCCATTCTTTAAGATTAATTTATTTAGTTTCCAATTAATTTTTAATCTTTATTTCAAAGGCTTTTATTAAAAATAAATTTTATTGCATTATGGTCAGAAAAGATGGATTTACTATTTCTGGTTTTCTGCATTTATTTGTGAGGATTTTATGCCCTAATACACGATCAGTTTTTGTAAAGTTTCCATGTACACCCAAGAAATAGTTATACTCCTTTCTATTCCCATTCAATATTCTCCAAAGGTTTATCATATCTAATTTTTCTAAAATTCCATTTATGTCTTTAATTTTTTTCTGTTTATTTTATGATTAGATTTATCTAGTTCTGAGAGAGGCAAATTGAAGTCCTCCACTATTTACTTTTACTGTTTTCCTCCTGTTACTCATTTACCTTTTCCTTTAAGAATTTAGATGCTATACCATTTGGTTGCATATATTTAATATTGATATTATTAATTTATTGACTATGATATCTTCTAGCAAAATACAATTTTCCTGTTTATCTCTTATAATTAGATTTTTTTGCCTTTGTTTTGCCTGAGATTATGATGAGCTATCCTTGCTTTTTTTTTGAAACTTCAGCTGAAGCATAATAGATTCTGCCCCATCCCCTTACTTTAACTGTGTGAATCTTGCTGTTTCAAGTGTGCTTCTTATAAATAACATATTCTTGGATTCTGAATTCCAATCCATTCTACCATCCTCTTCCATTTTATGAGTGAAGTCATCCCATTCACATTCACAAGTATGATTGCTAGCTGTATTTCCCTTCATCTTATTCTGTTGTACTTTTCCTTATCATTTTCCCTGTCTCCTCTTTGAGAGTCTGTTTTGCTTCTGACTACTGCTTCCCTTAATCTACCTTCCTCTTATTCCCTCTCTCTTCCTTCCCTTTACCCCTTTCTCTCTCACTTCCCTGTTGGGTAAGATGAATTTCTATACCCAACTGTGTGTGTATGTGTATTTTTCCCTCCTTTAACTAAGTTCAGATGAGAGGGAGGTTCAAGAGTTGCCCACTACCCCCACTTACCCTTCCTCATATTAACACTTTCTTGCACACCCCATTTCTATGAGATAATTTTTCCACTCTTCCTTTCTCTTCCCTCCTTTTCCGGTGCATTACTCCTCCTCACACTAGCTCGTCATCCAAACATCACAGAATTACACCCAGGCCTTCTGTCTAATTAGACTCGTTCCCTGATGATAATGAAGTTCTGAGAGGTTCCATTATCTCCCCATATGAGAATGTAAACATTAGTCTCTTGTGATTTCTCACTCGTGTTTATCTTTTTACTCTTCTCTTGAGTCCTGTGTTTGCATTTCACATTTCTTACACAGTTCTGGTCTTTTCATCAGGAATATTTAGAAGTTCTCTATGTCATTAAAGAGCCATTCTCCCCTCCTCCCCACCCTGTAGGATCATGCTTTGTTTTGTGGGGAGAGTTGTTCTTGGTTGTAAGCCTACATCCCCCTCAGAACTGAACACAATGCTCCAGATGCTGGGCTGCCCAAGGCACAGGACTGTAAGCTGCCAGGCACCTCCTTATTTCTGGAAGTGAGGCCTCTCTTAATATCCCAATAGCTTTTGTTGGCTGCTGTTATCACACTGTTGACACATGTTAAGCTTGGAGTCTCTGAAACTATGCTCTCTGCCTCTCTCCTCATCCTCCTTCAGAGGCTTGTGCTGGAACCACACTGCTTTAGGGAAATAAAGAATTAGCTTTGGCCACAGCTAGCCCTGCATGGATGTTAAATAAGCCATAAGAATGTGGTCACTGAAAGACCCTGCTGTCCAACTATATCTCCCTACGCAACTGGCCATAGTGCCTAAAATTCCCACCCTGAGGTTTTTTTTTTTGGAGGGGCAGGGCTCAGGAACTGAAGGCCTATTATGAAAATGCACATGTGTACTGGAAGGGGTCCATACCCCTTAGCCCTTCCCCACAAATTGATGAGATTTCCCCTTGTCCTCTGATCCAGTAGAGAGAAGACCAGTCATAGAAGGGAATGTAGGATAGGTCAGTGCTGCTAGGTGGGCAGGAGGCAGTGAAGAAGGTCAGGATAGATTGAGAAAGTGGAATGCTGCCAGGGAAGAGAGCAATGAGGATACAGGGAAGGTGCATCAGGAGACCCTTGAGATAGGGGGAAAGGAGTCCAATGGGCTATCAGACCTGACAGCATCGAATGTCAGAGTGTGAAGAGACCTAAGAACAAAGAAGGTCGAATCTAGAAGAATCTGGTCAACCATCTCCTCCCACCCCTCTAACAGATAGAGAAGTTGAGGCCCAGAGAAATGAAGTGACTTGCCCAGAAGGAATATACAGCAAAACCAGGATCTGAACCTATGTCCTCTGTCATTTTCCACCATATCACACTCAAGGTTCCTTTTAGAAAAGGTGTTAACAAACAGGAGAGCACTGAGAGGGGGAACCACCAAGATGGTGGAGGGCCTTAAGACTGGGTGGTATGAAGATCACTGAAAGAACCGGAGACACTTAGCTTGCAGAAGAAGAGACTGATGGGGGTTGGTAGGTCAGTGGGGGTCTGTCCAAACAGCTCAAGAGCTGTTGTTGAAGAGGGCTTGGCTTCTTCTTCATCATCATTATCATCATCATCATCATTATCATCACAGTCATAATTGGGTTTGTGCTCTTTGACCTCAGAGGGCAGGCTTAGCAGTTGTGGGTGGTCATTATAAGAAGGCTGTTGTCAGCTCTATCTGTCTGTCTGTCTGTCTATCTATCTATCTGTCTGTCTGTCTATCTATCTATCTATCTATCTATCTATCTATCTATCTATCTATCTATCTATCTTGGGAAGAGTAATTCCCACATGCCAGGGAAGCTATTTTTCAGGTGGTAGCTGAGCTCTGGGGTCACTTTTCTCCATATTTGGGGGGACATGGCAATGGGACAGAGGTTTTGTCTGCCCCAGCCTGCCATGGACAAGCCTGTTTCCTGTTATTTCTGCAGTAGGATATGGTTCGTGGTTTGAGCATGTCCAGGAATTCTGGGACCATCATATGGATTCCAATGTGCTTTTCCTCAAGTATGAAGACATGCACCGGGTGAGTGGGTCTGGCGGCACCATGCCCTAGGCTTGAAGGTACTGACTGTATCCCTCAGGCAGCGTTCCCATCATGCCCTTCCTCATCAATGTGAATCCTCATACCCTTTCATAGGTTCACTACAAAACTGGATCGGATCCCCCATGGCTAGGGGCACCTTCAGGAAAATGGATGTGTGAGGATTTTCAAAGTATAAAGAATCAAACCAACTCATATTCCTCGGCACACACACAAAATATGCTTTTGGATGGGTGTGCATATGAGAGAGAGACAGACAGAGAGACAGAGACAGGGTCAGAGACAGAGGCAGAGTGAAAAACAGAGAGACAGAAAGAGAGAATAATATTTATTAAATTATGGGAGTAATTCTGTCTCATTGATGTGAAAAGATTCAAAGATTGTCATGTCAGAAGTGGAAGGGGCCTTACAGCTAGCTCATTTTGCCCAACACCCTCATTTTACAGAGGAGGAAACCAAGGCCTAAGAAGGAGGTGTGACTTGCCCAAGGTCATAGAGCTGATAACTGGCACAGCCAGGCCTCCTGGCCCCCAACCCAGTTCCTTTCTCATTAGACTTGCTCACATACACCATGTGGGCATGTGCACACCTTCCTTGTCTCTCACGCACACCAACCAGCATGTGTGCTTTCACGTAGCGTGTCACTCCTTCACATAGGTGTATACAAACACTCCCCTCTCTCAGCTGTGCACACACTCATGCATATTCTCTGCTTCTCATGGGCACACCCACTCACCCACCCCAAAGCCATTTTGTTCACTGCTGTGGAATGGACAAGTTGGGTTGATCCTTTCCACTGTAGCCTGGGGGCAGTTGGGTGGGATGGTGCTGGATCTGGGGATGAGGAAACCCTGCTCTTGGTTTCTTTACTTTCTTGACCAGTAGACCCCTCGGAGTGGGCCAAGACCTCAGCCTCTGGTCTTCCTCTCTGGCCTTTTCTGGAAGTGGCCAGGAGTTGGAATCCTGGCTTCACTACCTTTACATAGGACTTTTGGCCAGTCACATTCCTCTCTGAGCCTCATGTGTAAAATGAGGGGGTAGGATTAAAGAGATAATTTTTAGGGGTTTCTCTGGCTTCCAATTTTATGGCTCATTTTTTGAGAGTAAGCAGCTGAGGCCCAGAGAAGGAAATGACTTGCTCACGGTCACACAATTATGTAAATGTCAGAGCCGGTGTTCAAAATGAGGTCCACTGAGGACAGTCCAGGATTCTTTTCAATCTGCCACTCCATACAATGATTCCAACCGAATAAGTTTTGAGTCCCCACAAAAAGTTAGAGTAACTTAAGGGTGGGGATTTTGTCTTCTCCTTCTCCTGTCTCCCCCACTGCATCCAGCACGAAGCTAGTCACCTAGAGGGGCTCCCAAGAGACTGAAGAGTGGCATTTAGGACCCTGTAGCATTAGCATTTCAGAGTGGCGAGAGAAGAGAGAAGGGTCAGGAGACCTGAAGGGGAGGCCCAGCTCTTCTCAGTACACCCCCGTGACCTGGAGCAGATGATTCTCCCTCTTGAGGCCTCAGTTTTCTCACAGGTTGAACGAGGTGGTTTCCCAGGTCTCTTGCAGCTCCAGATGCCATGACTACGAGCGGATAAGTCACCAGCACCTGTCAGTTTATGAAGCCTTGCTCCTCCCCCTTTGGCGATTTAAAGTGTGTCTCGGGCTCTAGGCCTGCCACGTGGGACAAGGCTGGTCCCCAGCCCCACCTCACTGCACTCTCAGCTCCAGCTCCTCACTTCATCCTCCATGGTCCTGTATGGGGCTTGGCCTACGTCCACCTCTGCAAGGGGGGGAGGGGAGGAGGGCCCCGTCCCCTTTAGGCCACGCATAGTCCTCATGCGTCCTGTACTTCTCCCCCAGGACCTGGCGACGATGGTGGAGCAGCTGGTGAGATTCCTGGGTGTGTCTTATGACAAGGCCCAGCTAGAGTCTATGGTGGAGCACTGCCACCAGCTCATTGACCAGTGCTGCAATGCGGAGGCCCTTCCTGTGGGGCGTGGTATGTTCCTTCCTTCCTCCTCCCCATTTTCAGCAACTCCCCCACCATTGGTTACACCCTTGCTGCGTGCAGAGCCCTGTGCTAGGCACTGAGGCAGACCCAAGAGACCCAGCCGCCATGGTAGTCTGATACAAACACAGATGAGGACAGCGTGTGCAGCATTCCCTGCTAAGTAAGTTATGTGAGGATCAGGTGAGGGGGAGGCTGGGCAGTGGGAGCTCAGCACCGACACAGAGAACCAAGGAAGGAGACTGTCCTCAGGCCAGCACCCTGGGTCAGGCTGCCATCGACTCTTGCCTAGACCCTTGTAGCAGCCATTTAATTGATCTGCTCACCTCAAGTCTCTCCCCACTCCAGTCCACCCTCCACTCAATGCCAGAACCGTCTTCCCCTACTCAGCAAACATCAATAGCATCAATTGTAAAGTCCTCTGTTTGGCATTAGATGCCCTTCACCATCTTGCCTGAACCTACCTTTCCAGTCTCATTACATTCCTGAACACTAAGGGACAGAAGGCCACGTTGGCCTTCCCTCTGTTTCTCACTCACCATACTCCATCTCCCACCTCAGCACCTCTCCATTACTCTGGGCCTTTGCCTAGACCATGCCTCATGCCTGGAACACCTTTCCTCCTTATTGCCACTCTTGGAATTCCTACCTCTTTCCAAGCTCAGCTAAGGAACTCCCTTCCTCAGGAGGACTTTCTTGACTCTGCCCTGCTTGTATTTACTCTCCTAACTACCAAGATTACTCTTCATTTATTCTGTATATAGGCTATATACACTTATTTGTTCACGTATTATTTTTCTCTGGGAGAACGTAAGCTCCTTGAGGGCAGGGACTGTTTCCTTTTTTTGGGGAGGGGGGATCCCTAGGACCAAGCACAGGGCCTGGCCCATAATAGGCATATGATAAATACATATTGAATTGAAGTGAATCTTTGCAGTCCCTTCTAGCTTCAAATCCTGTGATGACTTACTCCTAGGTTTTTCCTAAGCCAACAATTAGTTACTTTCAGACTTCTGGAACCAAATACATAGAATCACAGAATCTCAGAGCTGGCTTGGATCTCAGAGGCCTCCAGTCCACTCCTGCCCAAATTATGACTCCTTTCTACAACATTCCCCCTGAGTGCCACTGCATCTTGTGCCTGAAAAATTGACTGACCAACTAACCCACCAGTGCCCCCTGGGTGGCAGGCATGGTGCCAGGTGCTGCACATGTCCAATAGTAACAACTGGCATTTCTAGAGGGCTTCACAACTTGTAGAACGGCTTACACACATAGTCTTAGTAACAGAGCTGCAGGTAGGTCTGATCACCGCTTTACAGATAAGGAAACAGAAGCACAGAGGGATTAATTAGATTTGCCCATTATCATTCAGGCAGTGTACATCAGAGATGGAATTCAACACCAGGTTTCTCCTGCCTCCCAATCTGATAGTTTTCTCATTACCCCATGCTGCCTGGAAGGCCCATAGTCCACTCCCTTGGATACAGCTTTCAGGGTGAGGAAGTATTGACTCGGGCTGGGCTGACATGTCCTTACGTTAGCTCTCCCTATGGCTCCGGGGGCTGCCCTCAGACACCAAGCACAAGAAGATTATTCCTTCTGCCCTGTGCTAGCCCTTCAAATGCCTGCTGCATGTTTCCCTGAAGTTTCTCCCTTTTCAGTTCTCTCCATCAAGCATCATGTGATACGGTGTTCTGTTATCACCCCACCCTAGAACCTCTCCTCACCATGCTCTGTCCCACTTGTCCACATCCCCCCTAAAATGTGGCACACAAAGCTAAGCCCAGGATTCCCAATGAAGTCTGACCAGAAGACAGAGACTATTGCTTCTCTCTGGATGATCTGAGGCCAACCTCGGAGCAACCCATCAGATCCTAGCCATAAGCGCTGGCCAGTTGTCTGGCTGAAAAACATCCATTTAACTATTAGCTACATTGTTAGTGATTAGAAGGTAAGGTATAGGCGCCCTTTTTATTAGCTAGTGTGAACAGTCCAGGGGCAAACATATGCATTTGGTGATCTGTGTAGACAGTCACACTGAAGTTTACAGTGGGAGAAGTCCACTCTGTGGTCAGATTGGGTCATTTGCACAGTCTAACAAACCAGGTGACTGCTGTCTTTTGTTATCTCCTGTTGAATAGACCAAGACTCCTAGTGGTCCTTTTCTTTCTTTTTCATTGTTACCTCAAGGAAAGATGGGATAAGGCAATCTTGTCTTACCAGATTTCCTGGCTAGGATGTATGATAATTTTCTCTAGCTGTGAGCAAAGTGGGAAGGGCGAGGTCTATTTTGAGAACCACCCCAGCCAAAGCAGGTGAGAAGGTTCTCATGTTATTATCCCTCCAGGAAAGAGGCTTTTCTTTTTAGTACACCACATGCTTCATACTAAAGGCAGCTCATTCCTCACATTGCTCTACAAATGAAACCATTTCACAAAGAATAAAATCGAGGCACAGAGTGGTTAATCAGACTTACCTGTGGTCATACAGATAGAAGGCATCAGAGATGGGACGCTTTCGCTTGGGCTTTGGCCCATCCACCACTGAACTGAGCCAACATCAGAGAAGCAGATGCCTGTTGGGACACACATTCTGGACATCTGAGCCCCACTTGAGAGCTTTCTGTCTAGACAGTGGTCTATTTTGTGGGGTCCATCCCATCTGGGAGGCAGCATGAGACAGTGGAAAGTGCTGAGCTTGCAATCACAGGCCCAGCTCTGCAATTCATTACTTGTGTCACCTTGGGCAGCACATTGCCCTCTCTGGGCCTCGGTTTCCTCCTCTGTAAAATGGGGGCATTGGACTAGTCTACATTCCCTTCCAGCTCTACCTCTAGGATCCTATATTATCCTAGTGAAGAGGAGATTTAGTAGGAAAAGGTCCCTGTCATCATTGAGAGGGTCACCATGGAAGAGGGAATAGGCCAAGACTACTGAAGAGTAGCACAGACTGCCCCAGGGGGTAACCAATCAATCAGTGAATAAAGAAGCATTTACTAAGCAACTACTCTATGCCAGACACTGTGAGAAGAGAGCTCCTCTTCACCTGTGGATGATGACTCATTCCTGTTTGGGTCAGAGTTGGGCTGGATGACCTTGGAGGAGGTCCCCACAGCACTGATGTTCTGTGACTGTACTCAGATATGTTTCGGGTCAAGTCACATTTCTCCAAACCCAACAACCTCAGTCAGTGAAAGTCCAACCACCGAAGCACGGTTGTCCCACAAATTGTCTGCTGGCTCCATCCACCATGTTCTCTGCATCTGTTGAGATAATCATAGGATTTCTGTTACTTTTGTTGTTGATATGCTCAGTGATACTGATAGTTTTCCTAATATTGAACCAGCCCTGTATTCCTGGTAGAAATCCTACTTGGTCATAGTGTATTATCCTTGAGATGAATTGTTGTTATCTCCTTGCTAATATTTTATTTAAAATTTTTGCATCTACATTCATTAGGGAGATTGGTCTATAATTTTCTTTCTCTATTGTGGCTTTTCTCGTTTTAGGTATCAGCATCATATTTGTATCATAAAAAGAATTTGGTTGCCCACCATGTTCTAAAGCAGAGTCTGAAGCCCGGTGTTTCCATTGCTCAGGGTTCCCAGAGTCCCTGTGGTTCAGGGTTTGATGCAGCAGGCATGTAGAAATCAAATGACACCTCTTCTGCTTTTCATTTCAGGAAGAGTTGGCCTATGGAAGGACATCTTCACTGTATCCATGAATGAGAAGTTTGATCTGGTATACAAACAGAAGATGGGAAAGTGTGACCTTGTCTTTGACTTTTATTTATAAAAGAGATAGAGAGAAAACTCAAACTACAAAAAACTTTGCATGCTCGCAGCACCCGTGTCCTGTACGACTAGCTAGAAGCCCTTGATGCGTTACCTTATGACTTGCTGGACAAATATTGGTAGCTCTGTGTAAAACAACTGGAAAAAGCCAACAGCTAAGTAACTGTAGGCCACGTAATTACCTTCAGTCCCAAACAGCCCTCTACTCTGTAGTGTTTGAAGTCCTTTATCTACTCATATGAACATAAGCTATTACAAAAACATGCAGCTGTGATGGACTGTATTCTATATAAGTACAAAGTATGTAACATATATGCAATTAGAATGTATGCCTTTTCTGCCCCGTCCTGATTATTTATTGTATTTTATAGAGCTTTTCACCAAGACTCTGAATAAACATAGTAAACCAAATAAATGTTCATTTCAGAGGGGAATCAGTGACAAGCCCAAATGGAATTCTAGAATGATCTCAGGGGTTAACTGTTGTATTTATTTTTGTAGTTTTATCATAACGGGCACAATTATCTGGCTCTTAGATGAGAAATGGCTCTAAGATAGAGGGTGGGGAGAGGGCGAGAGTCTGGAAGACAGCTCTTCCTTCTTTGATTTTTCTAGGGCTCAGTCTTTGGTGTCTCTTCTGAAATGTAGGCATATCCTGCTTCACGTAATTCCTTGATCTTGATACTAAAAACAATGCCAGAGGGGCAGTTAACTTTCTAAGAATGATGTTACAAGTCAGGCAGTAAGCAGGCTGCTGGTAATTAGTGCTTGTACCCCAGGGACTAGCTTGAATCCCTCCTAACTATCAGACCTGGTCTGAGGCAAATAGCCAAGGGATACTATGGAGGACATGTGTGAAGTGATAGCAGGGTTCAGTCATATCAGCCCAAGATGATAATGGTTGAAGCCACATCATGAGGGTTGTGCCCACTGATGCAGAAACTGGACCCTAGGTTTTCCAGATAGGGGAGGGCTTTCTGCGTGGTTTTCTTTGGCCTGTGAAGGTTGCTAGGAGAACTTTGGTGACGGAGGCTGGCAAGGGGAATCCAGCACATGGGCATGTAACATAATTTGAAGTATTCACATGGAAGATGACGTTTGCAGCAACAAAAAACATTAGCCATAAACTGCAACTGGAAGTTATGTTTTACTCCATAGCTGCCTTTTTTGTCCCCTAAGACAGCAGTCAACTGAAAGTGGCAAGCAGCCTGCCAACTATGAGACTTGTAAAATACTCTTGCATTTTCCTTACTGTTTATGTTGTTCTGTCTGTCCTCAAGGCCTTGGATGCAGGGGAAACATTTTTCAAGCTTGACACCATACTTCACTCAGACCAGTTCTTGCTCCTTTTTACATGAGTCCTGAACCTCCTGGTATCTGAAGGGAAAAGGTGATACTGTCACTGCCTTCCCACCAGGCCCGAAGCACGAGAACCCAGAGGGGTAAGGAAAGAAACTCTCAATAGCATCAGAGAAAATCATGGGGGAAAGGAGAGCCAGAAGGTGGTGGGAAGGGACATGGGCAGCTGCCGTCTGGCTCCCAATCACTTTCTCGACGGGAGCTGTGAGAATGCCTGTCTCTTCTAAGATGAAGCAGCAGCTGAAATGCAGTCCTTACCCAGGTTCTAGGACTAGAAGGGCAGATACTACCCCAAAGGGCTCAGTTCTGTGCTGCTTTATTTGAAACACAGGTGTAGACACTGGATTTATACTTTTATTCCTTTTTAAATAAAAGAAGAAAAAGCTGTTTGGAGAGCAGGTGGCCAATAGCATGGTCGGGCACCTTCTCTTGTCTAGCTGTGTGTGAGGCTGCTCTCCATGAAATTTCATTTCTATTTTTCTATTTCTCATATTGTATCAACCTTCAGCACTTCGTGTCCTTTCTGTGCTTGCTTGCTTGCTTCTCCAATAAAGACGTGTTCTGTGCCTGGGGTCCTTTCAGATGCTGCCATCCTCACCATTTATGTTTCCTTGTTCACAAACAGCTGCAGACAGTCCAGGGATTTTAATCAGGGGAAGAAGCTGCTGCCTGGTGAGGGGACTTGGCTCGCTCACTATCCCCCCCACTGGTGAGGGTGGGAGCCAGGACTTGAAGGCGAGGCTTGAAGGAACCTTGAGAGAAGGTTTCCGGTCTAGAGTCTCCAGCACTTGATAGAGTCTTGTCCTTTCCATTCCTTTTCCACTGACAGCTCCCCTCTGCCGATCGATTGCTGCAGGGACCATCACACTTGAGCACCCCCTTATCCCTGCCTCTACCCCATCCCCCTTTGTCTAGGCGAGACCCCCGTCAGAGCCGATTTTCCTCATGGTCACATTAAGGTCAAATTCCTTTGCAAAAGTGGAGTTTACAGTCATTGAATTACCTACGACTTACGTATCAGGCTACATTTCCCGCTTTCCGGTGGGTGGCTTTGCAGTCAAGCTTCCTAATATCTCCTGTATTCCATTAAAAATTCTTGGGTGCCTGTCGAGCTGCCAGAATTCTCACCCCATCCCATACATGCTCCAGTGGAGCTGATGGTCTCTGGGGTCTATTTCTGTATGTACATGTTTCTCCCCAATGGAATGCATCATATTATAGTATGATAAATTTAGAGACAGAAGGATCTCTGAGGCCATTCAGCACAAACCTTTCATGTTACCCAGAAGGAACTGAGGCTTAGAATGGAAAAGTGACTTGCCCACAAGTGTCACACAGCTAGTAGGTGTCAGAGGTGGGGTCTGAATGCAGGTTTTCTTTTTCTTTTTTTTTCATTTTTTGCAAGACAATTGGAGTTAAGTGACTTGCCCAGGGTCACACAGCTAGTTAAGTGTCAAGTGTCTGGTCTGAGTTCGGATATGAACTCAGGTCCTCCTGACTCCAGGGCTGGTGCTCTATCCACCGTGCTACCTAGCTTCCTGTGAATGCAGGTTTTCTTGACTCCAAACAGATGCCGGCGCCACCAAACCAAAGCAGGAGTTGTTTCTTTTTTTGTCTTTGTTTCTCCAGACCTGAGCAAAGCACCTGGTACAAAGAACGCACTTCATAAGTGCTGGCTTGCTTGATCTCCAGAAGAAAGAGATAGGAAACCACCTGGAAAGCCTTGCTGTACATTTCGACTTCACGTTATACTAAGAGAATTAATAAAATAAACACATTATGAAGTAAGAATACGTATTACAAGATAACATCTCATGCTGGTTAAAAACTAGAAAAGTAGATCAGTGGGATAGACAAGAAAAGGAAACACCAGAGACCGCCGAACTCACGAGGATAATGCTTAGGAAACCCAAGAACATAAATTCCTTAGGAAAGAACTAATCTGACAAAAATTGTTGGGGAACATGGAAAGCTGTTGAGCAGAAATTAAGTATAAACCCACATTCAACACCTATTATACAATAAGCTCAAAATGACCTGAATATCAAAGGCCAGGTCATAGCACAATTAGAAAAGAATCAGATCAGATACTTTAATGTCTATAGCCCAGGAGGTGAGTTCCAGAAGTGGCCATAAAAGACAGAACAAAATACATAATTTTGACTTGCCTGAAATTGAAAAGCTTTTGCATAAATCAAATTAAACAACTAGGATAAAAAAGGAAAGCAGTCAACTGGGGAAAAAATCTTTCAAAAGGGTCTGCTATCCAAGCTACACAGGGAGCTATCACGAATATATATGTTCAAGGACTAATAGATTAGAGGTCAAAGGACATGAACGAACAGTCCTCAAAAGAAGAATTGCCAATGATTCAGAGCTTTATAAAAGACTACTCCAACTCACTAGAAATAAGAGAAATACAAGCCAAAACAACCCTGAGGTTCCGGGAGGACAGACTAGATGGCTTTTGTGAAACCACTAAGCTCCTGCTGAGCTTATTCCCGAAACACAGGTCCAGCTTCTGCACTTTCTTATCTCTATACAGTTTATGGGAGTATTCTACGCATGTATGGTGAACATCTTTGACAATTCTGTTAGAAGGAAATAGGCACGCTTCTGTAAGCAAGAGTTCTCAGTAGCCAATACCTCTACCAGCCTCCCCACCAAATTGCAAGTCAAAATTATACAAGATTCATTGAAAGATAAAGCAAGAAATAACCTTGTCCAAGGTTGTGATCCTCTATTGCTATCAAGGGAGGTGTAACACAGGGAAATATAAGCTCACCAAAAGGGTTTGCCACCTTCCTGTAGCTGATACAGAATAGTCAGGGCAAAGAGGGATTCTTTATGGACCTTGAAGTCCTCCAGATCTTCCTGTTGGGGGATGGGGATGGCATTATGCTGATGGCATCAATCCTTGGAATACTGCAGAGACTTTTAAACAAGATCCATAATCAATCCCATGAATTTGGCTCGTGATAAGCATTTGCAAAAACATTAGCATGAAGATAATTACAGTCACCATCTGTGGTAGAGGATGAGGAGGAAATAACATCCTTGCAATTCAAATCAAGGTATCTTTTGATAATTGGTGCCTTTGATACAAAGATGTGCCCAGAGGATGGTGAAAAACATCATGCTCAAGATTAAGAAAAGGGAGTGGCCAGAAGCTTGCGGACCACACAGAAACCTCACACCTGTACGGCCTGAAGAGGTGTGGGACGTGGCGAGCACCACCTGGTGCACAGAACAGGGGCTGGGCATGTGACGTCATTGGTACAATCCAGGTGGAGAAACTCGCTCTATAAATGCAGAGCAGCGCCCAGACAGGAGCCGTCCTGAGTGTGATGGGGGCTGCTTCCAAGTCAGGGATGCCCGCAACAGACCCGCTTCAGTCTGGCTACAGCGAAGGCGGGGCCAGGATGACCCCAGCCGGAAAGGAGCGAGGGACCAAGATGGATACAAACTATCTCTTCCTCTTAGGCCCCGCCCCTCAGCCTACCCTCACAGAGGCCACGCCCCCACTAAAACGTCATATCTAAGGCCCCGCCCCTCACTCCCACTCCTCACAGAGGCCCCGCCCCTCTCTCTTGCTCCCCGGTCCCCTCAGTACGGTGCACCCACCTGCCTCGCCTTCTCTGACAGTCCCTGGGAGGCCCCAGGGGGTCCCAGGCGCAGCCTCGGCTCACCGGGAGCCTCCCAGAGCCAGAGAGCCCGCCCTCCATCTCCGGAGCTGCGCCCTCTGATTGGCTCGCTGACGCCGCTGGAGCGCTCGGATTGGATGGAGTCGGAGCGCGGGCTCCAGAAGTCCCGCCCCTAGCCTGGGAGGTGCGAAGAGGGGCCAGAAGAGGACGAGGAGAGCGCGGGAGGGAGGCGGGTCGGGGAGGGGCGCCCCCCCAGGGCCATGGCTCCGTCCAACGCTCTCCCCCCGACCGGGCCTCAGTTTCTTCCCCTGGAGCATGGGGAGAAATCTTCCCCGCCCCCCACAAGCCAGTCATGAGGGAAAAGGCGAAGGTGCTTGTGGTCTGGGCCTGACCGTCACCCCCGACCCCGCCCCCTCCCCCAGCAAGAAGCTGGGGTGAGTGTGGAGGGAGCTTCCGATGTGGAGATGCCCTTCTCTGAGGCAGGTCGGCTCCTCCTTCCCATTCGAGGGGCTGAGAGGGGGCCTAGAGAGGCGCAGGGACCTGGCCGGCGCCCCCCAGCCTGGGCTTGAACCCGGGACCATGTGAGCTCCACCGGACTCTCTCCTGCCGTGGTGGACTCTTCTGAGAAAGGCAGCGGGTCGTGCTCCTTATTAGAAAGGGATTGTGGGGAAGCCTGGCTGGAAAGGCTGGAAAGGCCAGAGTTCGGCCCTGGTCATCCTTGCAGCCCCTCCCCCATCCTCAGTCATCATCATCATCGTCAGTCGTCACGATCAATGATCACCATCAGTCTTGATCGTCAGCCCCAGCCTCAGCATCCTGACTCATCTCCGCTCATGGAGGGGAAAGCGCTCAGAACCTTCCCAATAGTGAGCTGCCCAAAGGCGCGTAAACACCTCCTTGAAGACCGGAGCGACTCACCCTAGAGCAAGAGGGAGGGGGCCCTCTGGAGTGCTTAGAAGAGCCACAGGGAGGCCTCCCACACCTTGGGCGGATCTTTTATTGAAGATTTTTGGAAGGTGGACAAGAACTGCCCAGGAGGAGAAGGCTCGGGATGGGTCGTGATCAGCTTCTGCAAAGGGAGGAACCCTGCCCAGAGACCCCTGAGCCTCTGATCATCAGGGTAGGTAGACTAGCTAACACAGACAGCATCTGAGGCTTTGCGAAATGCTTGTTATGCATCCTCATAGGTGCATTGAAGGCAGCCGGGATTTGGAGGGTGAGTCGAGCTGTGTGACCTTGGGCAGTTCACCTCTCAGCCTTGGTTTCCTTACCTTTCAAATGAAGGGTTGGATGGGATGATTCTATGCCCCCTGGAGCTCTAGAGCTAGAGTCCTATGACCATTCATTATCTCAAGAATCTCTCACCAGCCCTCAGGTAGCAATGGAAGTCCTCCTATTTTAAAGACAAGAACATTGGAGTCTCCGAGAGGTTGTGACTAGCCCAAGGGCACAGGTGTGCATTCAGGTCTTTTGACTTCCAGCCCAACTGTACAGCACTGCCTATGTCTTCCCAGGCCTAGAAAGGCCTATCTTTGTCCTCTGAGAGCAAGCTTTGGTCTTGTTGGTTGAAATTGTTAGTGCTGTTTCGACTTTAGCTCTTTTAGTTTTTGTGCCAAATATTAAGATAACGCAAATGAATCTGGATTTCTCTTTAGAGAGTTAATATTTCATTAATCGTTTTCTTATTAAACGTGGAATACCATGAGTTAAAATTTCCTAGATGTCACTTTTGGCACCATCACACAGTCTTGTACAATGTCATACTTATCTACGTGGGTGAGTAGAGATCCTGCTGTAGGGTCAGGAAAACCTGGGTTTTCTATGGGGAGGTCACTACCTTTCAGTGCTCAAGGCAGCCCTTTAAGATCATGAATTACAGAGCAGACAGTGATCCTGCATCACTGGAGGGAGTTTTCTCATGGTGAGTTCCCTATAAAAATGAAATCATAGGGCAGGTCCAAAAACTATACACAACATTTCCCTTATGTTAGATGGCAAACTTATTGAGGACAACAACCAAGCTTTATTTCATCTTTGTATCCCTAGAGCCCAAGTCAGTACATTGCAGATAGATGCGTTATAAATATTTATTTGAATTGACTTGGCTAGAAAGTGAGATTTCTATTATGTATTGGGGTCAAACTGTGCTTTGGAGGAACATATGTCCAATTATATAATGAAATTTAGCAAGACGAAAGGATTGTGTGTGCAGAAATTTGATTTCCAGGATAATTATCTTAGGTTACATGGATGTCCTGAATGAGGTATCCTTGTATCTGTAAGTGCCTGGCTCTCTTCAAGACTGTGCTGATATCCCAATTTCCTGCCTTCTCAAAGAGGAGTCCCCCAGTTCCTTAATTGCTAGTGTCCTCTTCTCTGACGTTATCTCCAATTTATAATGCATATGTTTTGTGTGGTCAGAGCTGTTTGCATGTTACCTCCTCCATCAAAATGTTGGCTTCTCCACAGTGCCTGTCATATAGTAGGCAATTAATAGCTGTTTGCTGATCCAGTGGGTGGCTGAGAGAGTTGAGAGTTGAGGCTGATGAACTGGGAGGCAGGGGTATTAAAAAGATATCAGTGGGCATACTGAAGCACCTGTGTTTGTGTGTAGGGGAGGAATATGGTAAACTAGATACTGGGCTCCTCATGAGGGGAGGAACTGGAGGACCTGCCTTCCTACTCCGACTCTGCTGCTTACTCCTTGTGTGACTTTGGATAAGTTGTCTTAATTTTCTGGATATCAGTTTCTTCGTCTACAAAAGGAGGGAGTAGAACTAGTTGACTTCTAAGATTCCTTTCAATTCTAATTCCTATGATTCTATGACCTGGAGTCCTGTAGATAATTGTGACAAGAATATTAACTGAGTGATATAGATCAGAGGTGTCAAACTTGCAGCCAGGAATCAGTGCTGCCCAAACCAGATTAAAATGCAATTGGGAAATGTTTAACAAAATAAATCAAAATACAACATAAAAAAACAAAACAAAACAAAACTGTTGGCTTCTTGAGTGTGTGTGTGTGTGTTTTTAACTCTTTTGTGTTCTCAGTTCTTAGCAAGGTGCCTAGTATAGTCTCAGAAATAAGATAGAGGAATGATATAGGTCCATTCCATGTTTATTTTATTAAAGTGTTTTTCAGAAAAAATTTAATTACATGATTTGCATACAGCTTTGACATAGAAAATGAAGCTTTTGACATATTGAGACAAGAGAGTCAGAAGATACGCTGTCTGCCTTTTTTGCATTTGGTGCTGGCAGGGTGGTTATGGTGTTGGTACATCTCAAGCTCTTACATTTTAGCTCCTCTCAAAAACTCTGGTTATCTACAAGCATTGTTCAGTCCTAAAATGGGCAGACTTATATGGAAATCACCTTTTGGACATAATTTATGAAGTTAATAAGAGTCACCAGTGAGGTGGTCCTAGGATCATAGGGTCACAGGATTCAGAGTTAAGAGAGATCTTATCCAACCCTATCCTTTTACAGAGAGCCTGATCCTGAGGCGCAGAAAGGGGAAGTAGTTTATTCAAGGTCATCTAAGTAGTAAATAGCAGATCCAGGATTCAAATCTAGACCTTCTGACTCCCAATCCAGTGCCTTTTCCGTTATACTGTGCTGCCCCTGCCCAAGTTCTTCCACATTCTTATTGAGTCCTGAATTGTCTTGATGGCCTGGGATCCCATAGAAAAGAGCCAGACTGTGTGGACTGTGACACCTTCTCTAGTGGGTACGCCACACCAAAATGCTTGTCTGGTTCTTTCAGTAGTGAGAAGGATGGCACTTTTTGTGCTTCCCAGGACTTCTTTTCACTTGCATTCAATTGCTTAACTGTAAGCACAGCTGATGCTATAACACATGCTCAGGCGTGGCAAGTGTTACCATGTTGGTCAGAGTCTTAGATGGTGAAATGAATGACTCAGGCCTCTGCTTCCTGCTTTTGGAATACTGTGGGGAGCAGGGGCTGCCACACCAGCTAGCCCTGAAAAGAGGCCCAAGCAGAGGCAGCATGGGAGCCTGAGTTCTCCCAGGAGACCCTGTTCTGCTAGGTGCCACTGTTCTCATTGCCCTGCTTGCCCAGCATTGATGACAGCAATTCTATCACCATCAGACCTGCTCCCTTCCTCTTTTGAATGGGGATTCTCTGTGTTGAAGATTGTTACTGCAAGAGCATCACCCCCTCAAAACTCCTCCCTAGGTGCTAGGAGAAGGAAAATTCTAATGGACAAGATCTTATGGGCCGTGCAGCCCTTTTCTTTTTCTAAGATTTATTTCTGTCAACCCTGGAGCATCTTTTCAGGATTTAAAAGAAACATTGAAAAGCAATATTTAAAAAAATATATAAATAAAAAGAAACCACCACAGGCAGAGAGAAAAAAGATGTTTAAGACATGAAGCAAGAAAAAGTCACTTTCTCAATCATTTGAGAGAAAAATGTGGTTTGTGTTTCTCTTCAGGAGATAAGTGTTTTCATGTGGCACGAATCTAAAGAACTAGAAGAAGACCTTCTGCACCTTAGGTGGTTCCTCTGGGAGATTTACAGAAAGTTGTGGAAGAGAAAGCATGAGTGAATGGCAGTCTACACTAGTGGATGGTATACCAGCAGCTATGAGATCATGGATCTAATGAAGTATGGAATGAAATGAATCTACTTTTCTCAGTAACATCTAACTTTTTGCATCTGAATTTCATTCAGAGTGTGTGAGATTAAATGAAGACAGGAGGAGGATATAGGTTGTTATAAATGAAATCTCCTTCTTGGCTACAACGTTGACCAACTTGAATACAATGCAGGATTCTTTCTCAAGACAGAATACAGTGTGACTACTAGCATTTAGCTCTACCTTCCAAAACCTGGTAGAGTGTTTTCTTGAAGACCACTGCTCTTGGATTTAAATGGAAAGAAGTTGCTGCTGCTTAACCTTCCCTTCACTCTCTGAGAGCCAGCCTTTGGAATGAACATGCCAAGGAGGGACCCTTGTTCATTGGTTACTGTGTACTGCATGTGAAGTTCAGATATTAAAAATGGAATGGCAATACAGAATGCATTTGTGAACTGTTGGATGCGTGCCCTCAGATTGAGTACGTGCAAACCATGCACCCAAGAAGGAGGTCTCCTAATGGCTGTTCTTCCTGTACATGATTTTTCACAGGAAAGGTTTTCTGAAAGCATTTTCTCCTAACTCCATGATGAAGTGGAAAGTGGTAATATAACCTACAAGTAAAATAATTTCTTTCACTAATGAGCCCCAGTGGGGACAAAAACCTTTATTTTCAAGATCTGACAATAGTTTTTGACCCCAGAAAGCAAACTAACCATGTTTTGGGTCAATTTGGGTCAAACATGACTTCCTTATCATTTTATTTATCCCCACGGAGCTTTTAGATGGTTTTGTGAGAGAAATATTTAGTGGGGAAAGCATACTGTGAAATTTAGTGCATTATAAAAAATGTGAAGCTATAATGGTAATTAATGTCTCCCACATAAATTATTTTGTTTGGGGTGGGTTTTAGGATATGATTTTATTTTGAGGGCTAAATTTTTTTCCCAGAGGAATACATCTCTAATTTTATAATTGGGATCAGTGATAAGGAGAAGATTAAATATACGTGTCAGATTTATGGATCACCTGTGGTTAATCTATCCTAAAACACTCTTATGGCTAACGTGAGGGAATATCACATTGAGTCTGGCTTTTGACCTGTGTCTGATGGAGTCTTCCCTCCCCCAGTGGAATAGGGCAGATGAGAACAGTTTGCTCCAATGGCTGTGAAGGCGGCCGAAGCAGGCGTTGTGGAGCACTGAGAGCTTGGGCAGACGTCAAAAACGCCAAGGTCGTCTGCTGCATCCTGAGCCATCATCAGTCATTTTGACTTTGTCCTGCCACTGGACTTGGATGACTTTGGAAGAGACAGAGAGGTTGATGATGTTCAGCAGCCCTGCTTCTCTTAAACTTGATTCATGTACAAGTCAAGATATCAACCACCATCCACTATGTTGCCCCAGCATTGTGATGTCATTGGCCCTCTTTGAAAATGAAGGCTGTGCAACAGCAACAAGGGAGTGTCTTCAGTTGGTCTTTAGCTCAGCACCATGCTGACCTGGGGAAAGTGAGCCTATGAGGAGATGCTGACCGCGTCAGGAGCTCTGGGTCCAAGCTCCATAGTGACAGTTCATGGGCTGGGGGACTGTGTACTCCCTACAGGCCCCAGAACTTAGAAGGTGCTCCATGAATAATTATTGATTTATTGGTAAGTATTTTCTTTTGGGGGTGGTGCTGGCTTGGGGTCCCTAGGTCTTTTTTTTTTGCTAGTGGACAAGGGGAACATAGAGCATTCTCTTTTATCCATCTCAGTAACCTTTTTGTGGATAGACTTCTTCTTTAGTTCTATGGCTGCAACAGCTTTCTTTTCCTTCTATTTCTAAGGTTTGACTCCTCAGCAGAGAGCTGTTATGTCTCTACTGATAAGAACAGAAGAGTATCACTGGCAGTGAAATGAAAGCCAGACACATGTAGCCCCTGGGAGTTCAGTTTTGATTCTTAAGGGTCCAAGTTGTCTTCCAGGCGATAGGGATGCTAGAGAAGAAGTTTTGCTCAGGTTGTTCTAAATGAGGTCCTTTCCGCCTCTGGGATTCTGTGACCCAAAGATCCAGGGACCTTTTGCTTAAGCCAGTCTGGCACTTCATTATCTTGGTGCTGAAAAGGTACCTGACATAGGTTCGTAAAAGGGGTCTCCCAGATGATCTGTTTCAACTGCCTTAGTTTACAGCTAAGGAAGACAAGAATAATAGAGAGGAAGTGACATGCCTGGTGTCACACTGGTCATTGAGAAGCCAGAATTCAAAGCTAGGCAATCTGACAGAAGCTCCAAGCAGTGTGGAAGGCAACTTGAGTAGGCGTCCTGGAATGCCATAATAGTTCCTTGTATTTCTCTTAATGCTTTCTATTTCTCATTGTGCTGTTATGTCTGTTATCTCATTTGATTCTTTTAAAAACGTTGTGAGGTAGGCAAGGCACTTTGCAGGTAACTAGACTGAAGCTCAGAGGAATCTTTGATTGATTATGTCCAGGGTCAAATAGCAAACTGGTAGTGGAGACTTGAATGCAGGTTTCCTTACTCCAGTCCAGGAGGGCTCTGGGGAATCCTTAGTGAGTATAAAGTAGTAGACCATTCCAACTGAGGGTTCCCAGTGGAATCTGTGGCAGGCTCTAAGCTGCTGTACTTTTTGCTAAAATGTTAATGTACTTTAAGCTATGGAAAAGTGAATTGAAAGTAGTCAGATTTCGCAGGAGAGCCTTGACCTCCTAGTCAATGTTAGACCTTGGTTGTCTCTGACCCATTTAGGTGTTGTAAGGGATTAACAAGGGGCAGTGCTCCAGGAGATGTCACAGGCCATGGTTCCCTGTGGCTAAAGTAGAGAGAAGAGTGGTGGTAGGAGGGAAAGTTGGGTGGAATTTGCAGAGGGCTAGATTTTGGCTCAAAGCAAGGAAATATTTCCTTTAACAACAAGAGCTGCACCAAAGAGGAAGGGCCTGCCTTGAGTTCTAGTGAATTCCCTACCTACCAGATATCTTCTGGTAGAAGCTGTCAGAGTTTTGAGCGGGAATTCCTCTGTTGTATGGGTTAGACTTCAGAAGCCCCTTCCAACTCTGAGAAAGCAAGATTTGTTGGTGGGATGGTGCCAGTGACCTAGAGTAATGACTTTAGTTTTCAGCATGTTCTTGGCTTTTAGAGATCTTGTTATGGTAAAGGCATGGGGAGGGAGAGTTAGTCTGGTCCCTCAGAGAAGATGCCACCTTGGGTATCTACATGAAGCCCCACTGTGCTCATATTTTATGGCTAAGATGGAAGATGAAAAAAAAAGATGTTTTGGTACATGAACCCTACAGACAGCATTTCGGGATGGATGGAAAACAGCTGATTTTGCAGTTTTTACATTCCTACGGTATTAGAGCTAACTGGGACCTTAGAAATTATCTGGTCCAACCTAATTTTACAGAAGAAACTGAGACCCAGCCATATCATGTGGCTTGCCGAAGGCCACACCAGTAGTAAGTAAGCAGAAGAGTTGGCCCCCATGCCCTGCTAGCTACACATGTAGAGCCTTCCCTTAGAGCTGCCTTTAGAATGTCAGGGGGCTTAGTGTGCACAACACAGCCTCTCTGCAGAGGAGGAGCCAGAGGCCAGACTTGTTGGAGATCCTGCAGTAGGTTGATGGCCCAGCAGAGGGAATTCCTGACTCTCGTTCTAGTTCCATTGTTGACAGCTCCTCACAGAGGCTACCTATCCATGGTATGGAAAAGGGGAGGGAGTCCAGGGCACACCTGGGTTTAGGTAAGTCAGTAGCCGTTTTTTAAAGAATGAGGACATGAACAGAAGGTGTAGACAGTTAAACAGATATGTGGCCACCTGTAATTGTTTATGCCTCTGAGAAGTATTGAAAAATGCCTAGATTTGGGTTTTGGATGAAGTCAAGAACCAGAGAATCTAGTTTCCATGTTCTCAATCAACCCAGTTCAATTCAGTTTATTTCAACTCAATGATTATTTTTTGAGGTCACTTAGCTCACAGATTAAACCTAGAGACTAACTCTTTTCCCTGGAGGCTTCTTCTGTAGGCTGAATAAATAGGAAACGTCAGGGTGCTGAAGGAAGGGGTCCTGCTTTTAGAGTCAAGGGATGTGGTTAAGTGGCTTCCCTTCTCTGGCTACCTTTGTAGAATAAGGCATCTGGACCAGATGATCCTTGTGGCTCCTCCCAGCTCTAAAGCCTGTGGTCTCATGAAGAACCTTGCCAGATATCGCCCACAGTCTGAATCTTACCAGTAACTGACATAATCTGGGGTATAAAACACAGCAAGTTTCATGTCCTTCAGTATGTACCCAAGCGCCTCTTTTCCATGGTGACAGGTCTCATGTCTGCTAGGAAACTCCCCCGAGCACAGTCATTCCAAACTGGCTTTTGGATGTTTCTGTCACTGGCTTAGAAGAAAATGGTGATGCAATAGATAGCATACGAGGAGTCTGAAGTGGAAGGGACCATACGATGCACAATGTTCCAGCTGGAAAGGAATTGAAAACACCAAATGTAACAGCTGGAATTGACTTGAGAACGTGGAATGTTGAGTTAGAAAAGATCTTGGAGATCATTTAGGATAGCTCTTCACTTGATGGAGGAGGGTACTTGAGTGATTCAGAGGTCACTTTAAAATCCTCTCCTTCCCTTAAGCTATCCATGAAATTCCTCCCTTCCGTTGATGCTTCATTATGCCTTAGAACCCTGGTGTCTTGGAGTCTGTGCCTTTGGAGTGCAAGCTCTGGCAGCTTTGCCCTGTCGAGCTGGGCAGGCTTTGAGTACGGGCCTGGGGATGCACTGGGCATTAGTATATTGGAGTGCAGAGAGGTGCATCATAGTGGCAGGCCCTCCACGGACACATTGCCTCATGAAGACGTTCTACTCAAGCTTGCAGTGTCCCTACCAGTGAATTAATGAATCCTTGAGATCCTAAAGGATGTAATTAAAAAAATAAACCAGCAGTGATGTAATTATAATCTATACTCAGGGGCAGTTGATCAGCCCATTTGCTTAAAGGTATTGCTGGTAATGAGGGTCGTCCAGCCCCAGAAGGGTGGGCTGCATCACGATGGAAGGACTAGAGCTCTTAGCCGTCCTTAGTGTGTTCATAGGAGGGGCTTGTCCAAGGTCTCTTCTAGTTCTAAAATTAAGTGATTCTATGGGCAAAGACAACTGAACTTGAGTGGCAGATGATTTAATTTTAATAATTTAGGCCCTTTGATGTTGGAATCTTTCTTTTTTAAGGGGAAAATATTTTAGATGAAGGCTATATTGTGTATTGGAAGGAACTCTGGGATCTGAAAACTTGGGTTTAAGTCCTGGTGTCTGTGTGACCTTGGATGAGATCTCTCCCACCCTGTGCACCTCGCTTTCCTTGCCTATAAATGAAGGAGAAGGGAATAAGCATTTATATAGTGGCTAATATGTGCCAGGCACCGTGCATGTAAATAGATATTTGATCAGGTGACCTTGAAAGTCTGTTCTAGCTCTGATATTTTAGGATATTTTGTTTTAAAGGATTGACTCTTTAACCAGGGTTCTTTGTATAGAATATAAGTCAGCAATGTTAATACATCAAACTTCCTTATAATATCCTGAGGGTGTAATAATGCAAGGCCACAGTCTCATAATTCATCACTAAATTCCCTTGAACAGGTTTCAAGGGAGACCAGTTCAATACCAACCAGTGAGTTCTTACATAGTTCTCCGGTGACTGAGCATAAGCATTTAGAAGTTTGCCAGTAGCAGCGTTCCAAATGTCTCATAAGTGTTTCTGCTTCTAGAGGCAGTGCAGTGGAAGGAGAAAGTGTTCTGGCCTTGGCTATGAGAGGTCTGGGTTTGAATCCAGGCCCAGAGACTAATTCTCTCTGGACAATAAAGGCCTTTTCCCTATACAATCTCAGTTTTCTCCTCTGTGATATAAGAGGGGTCACCTAGAGCAGAGATGTCAAACATCAGGCCAGGGAATGCAACCAGAACCTGATAAAATGTCATTGAGAAATATTTAGCAAAATAAATAAAAATACAATACAACAGAGCTAATGGTAACATGTGGCTTCCTAGGTCAGTCTATAGCCCTCAGGGAGCCTTATGGAGAGATCAATGACCTCGAACATCTTTCAGGTTCGTCTGAGCTCCCTTGCTCCTAACAGGCTAAGAAGTGACTTCATCTGTCTGAACTGGTTTCTTTCTCCATGGAATGGTAGTAGTGGTGGTGGTGGGGGTAATACTTGCACTTCCTTAAAGCAATAGAGAAATGGGAGGTTATTTAATTTTACCAAATAAGTTAAGATTGAAAAGACTAACTGAGGAAAAATTGTACTTCCCCAAACTCAGTAGACTCTGTTTTTGGGAAAAAGGTCAAGTTGTGAGGCCTTGGAACAGGGATTTAACATTTTAGGAAAGCTAAGAAAAAGGGTGTGTCTGTATGTTGTATTTGGGAGAAGAAATGTCTGTGTAATTAATATTTACAGTCACTAAAGGTAGTGTTTCTATTGTACCCACAAATAGAAGTATATATATATATTTATATTTATATATATATAGCACTTAATTAAGATGCTCTTTTGTGGTGAGGGAAAACATCTGTTGCCCCCTTCCCCTCCACAACTTTTAATCCATTGTATTTTAAAGTTCTTCAGAGTCCAACTAGCAGACAAACATAGTCACTGTGTCCACAGCAGGAGAGGTTGGGTGTGGGAATGAGATCTCAAGAAAAATAGAAGACAGCAGATAAAACCTGCACGTGCTGAGCTTAATTTTTGGTAGATTGTGAAACAAGTTATATATCCATATTCCCTGGTCTTTTCTTGTTTGGTTTCTACTATACCCAAGTCTACAGGAAACTAAGGGGAGAAACATCACAATTTAATTCCTTCCCCCCTGAAAATTCCAAATGCAGAGTTCAGGTGCAATTCAGATTCCAAACACTGTTTCTTCATACTTCTTCATACTTCCTCCCCTCCCACAGTGTATTGGCATCAGTTGATCAGGTTTAAAGACTTTCTCCTTGGCTCAGAAGAAAGGTACTGCATGGCTTCCTAGGAAATAAAGAGGTTTGGGGCAAAGAAGTGTTTTTCCAACCAGACATTTTCAGATTGCTGAAAATGGATGCTGCCGGTATGCATGCAACAGTGTCTTCCTCTGGGCCTGCCCATGGCTCCTCATATTCTCTTCCAGGTAAAAATATCCACCCTCCTGGGCCTTTAATGAATATAAAATGTTAGCCAGATTCTTCACTAGGGTGCTGAGTTCAAGAGTTCTGGAAGAGTGTTTCACAGTCAGCAAATGTTTCTACTGTGGAGGGAAATAGAATATTTGACACAAATGCAAGGCAAAAAAAATTCTCTCTCCAACCAACTGGACCCCAATGCCCCCAGCCATCCCCCGATCGCCCAGCTCTAGGAAGGTTATTTGTACGGTCGCAGAAATCTGGAAACTTTGGACCGCAGGAGCTTGATGAACGATCTGGGGAACATCTCCTTGGACTCTTGTGCCGTGTATTTGAAATAGTTTTGAGGATGTGCCAACACATCGAAGAGGGCTTTAAGCAGCTTCTTGTCCTGTGGAAGAAGAGAGAACATGGCATGAGGAATGTGGCCATTATGGGACACTCTGAGCGTGACCTTTGACCAGCTGCTTTGTTTCTAGATCATTGTCTTTGTCCCAATCCGAGCTTTAACCAGTGACGACAACACTGTTATCCTGGGGCTGGCATCTCCTCTCCGGTCCTCTCCCAGAAGAGACCCCAAAGACTCAGTGTCATCCCATTCTATATCATGTATGATAGGGGGTAGAAAAGGCTAGTTGCTGTACGCTGGAGAAGAAAAATGAAAGAGACCGAATCAGAGGCAGCATAGGAATGGCACTCATAGAGAAAGAATGCTGACAGAAATCTTACCTGTGTCTCGCACTGAGGAGACAGCGCCAAAAGAGGGAGGACACTAGAGATGCATCATTGCCTTTCTGAGAAATTAATGGCCTGCTGGGAAAAGTCATGAAGGATACATAAATAGCTGAAAAGAAAGATAGAAAAGACAACTCTGCCCCCTTTGGCAGAGACAGGACTTTTGGAAGCACTCTCATTTGCATAGAGATGATAGCCATTGGAGCTGTTCAGATCAATGAGGGAGAGAGTATATAGAGAGAAGGTAAGAGGATTCAGGACAGAGCTCTGGGGGACAGCTGCACTAGGGGAGCAGGAGAGAGATGGATGACAGATCCAGCAAAGTCAGACTGGTAGGAAGGAGGAGGAGGAGGAGGAGGAGGAGGAGGAGGAGGAGGAGGAGGAGGTGGCAAAAAGTAACACAGGCTGCAGTGGTCAAAGAAGATGAGGACTGAGGAAGATTATTGGATTTAGTTCTTAAGGGATCATTAATAACCTTGAAGAGAGTGATTTTACTCAACTATGAAAGTCAGAAATCAGATCACAATAGATTGAGAAGTGTGCAGGTATTGAGGGAGTGACTAGGAGATATTTTGGAGTTTTACAGTGAAAGGAGAGAAACATGGTGATAGCTTAGGGGTGACAGAGTCAAATGATGTGTTTTTGAAGGATGGAGTAGATCCGGCCATGATTCTGGGTAGAAGGGAAGGAACCTGTAGAAAGATGAGAAAAAGGGAACTCTCAGGGGCAGTTGAGGGGGAACTCCTAAAAAGAGACAGGGTGGGTTGGATTGAGGGCAGTGATAGAAGAGTTGGCCTTCACAACAAGGGGGACCTCTTCCTCAGAGACTGGAACAAAGTACATGAATGAAGAGTCATTCATTCAAAAAGTAAATCAATGAAAAAGAGGAACTTTGAGATATGGAACAGGGGAGATGGAGTTGCTCAGGGTTGTGTGGTCTTGATGTTTTTAGTATAGTCATAGACGTCATTGAGATGGAGTGGCGGGGAGAGTGGCACTGAAATGTATTCAGGAGGAAGGCCAAAGTGGAGGTGAACCCTGAGGCTGAGGGTTTGTGTGTGAGAGAAAGTCAATCAACTAGAATGTAGGAGCCTATATGTGTCCAGGCATTGTGCTGGGTGATAGAGATAGACAGACAAAATGGAAACAGTTGCTTGTCATTGAAGAGTTTACGTTCTGTCCGTGGGGATAACACATATATACAGATACAAGTAAACTAAGCATGAGGTAAAGGAGATCAGGAATAGCCTCATATGGATGTCATTTGGGCTGAGCCTTTACTACGAAGGCTGGAGATTCTGAAAAGGGGAAGTTAGGAGGGAACACAGTCCAGGCCCAGAGCAGCCTGTTCAAAGGATAGAAGAGGAAGCACCATGTGGGAAGACAAGCACAAAGGCCAAGGTTGGCTGGCCCAATGAGTGCTAGAGAGAGTAACATGTGATAAGGCAGGTTGTGAAAGGTTAAAATTGTTTTTTTCTGTGAATTACACTTTGTGAATGCCTCTTTGTTTTTCATTTAACATTTTTATTTTCAGTTCCAAATTCTCACCCTCCCTTCACCTCCTTCCCCCACTCATTGAGAAGGCAAGAAATATGATGCCTATTATATATGTAAAGTCATGCAAAATGTATTTCCACATTAGCCATGTTGTGAGAAAAAAAAACAACAAAAAAATAAAGTGAAAAAAGATCTGCTTCAACGTGCAGTCGGAGTTCATCAGTTTTCTCTCCAGGTGTGGGTCTCATGTTTCATCCCGAGTCCTCTGGAATTGTCTTGGATCATTGTGTTGATCAGAGTATCTTACATTTTCACAGTTGATTTTCATTACAATGGGTACAGGGTTTTCTTAGTTCTGCTGTATGAGCTTTAAATAGAGCTGAACAGAGGAGTGTGTATTTCATGCTAGTGTTAACAGGAAGTCACTGGAGCTTTTGGGGAGATGACACAGCCATGACATGGACATTAAAGAGATCACCTTCTTGTTGTCCTCTTGGGTAATACTTCCTCTCCTATCCCTGTGCCTTTGAACAGGCTGTGCCCAGGCATCGAATGCTTTCCCTCCTAACCTCTACTTCTTATTCTCTCCAGCCTCCTTAAAGGCTTGATCTGAATGACATCCTGATGAGGCAGTTCCTGATTTCCTTTATCTTAAGTTTATTTTGTATGTATTTGTATATATGTGTTTATGTATGTTCTTTCCTCTTAACTTGAAAAGGCCAAGGTCCCGCACTGCACTGTAGGCCATCTCTAGTTGTCCTGATCCGTATCTGGCCACTGGATCCAGATGACTCCAGAGGGGAAAGTAAGACTGGTGACTTTGCTCCGCCCTCCCTCACTTAACTCCAATTCACTTGCATGTCATGGCATCACCTCCCTGATGTCGTGGTCCACTGAGACAGCGTAAACTCTTCAGCAGTGGGAAGTGAGCACTTCACTATGAGGAGGATGGACTGGAGGGGAGAGTGCCTCGAGGCAGGGAGACTACGGAGGAGGCTGTTTCACAATCTATGTGAAAGGTGATGAAAGCCTGAGATAGCATGGTGGCCACAGTGTGAGTGGAGAGAAGGAAATGGATGTAGGGAGGTAGAATTAACAAGACCTGGAAACTGATGGGACATAAGGAGAGGGAAAGTGAGGAGCTGAGGATGACAATGAGGTCATGAACAACCACAGTGACTGGAAGGATGGTGGGGACCTGGACAGAAATAGAGATGTGTAGAAATAGATAAAGGTTTTTTTTTTTGGGGGGGGAATGAATTCTCTTTTGGACATGTTGACTTTGAGATGTCTATGACACTGGGGTTTAAGAGAAAAGGCAGGGCACTGTTATGAATTACTAAGGCTAAGGCAAATAACTGAATAATTTAGGGATGTCAATATTTTTATTCCTATTACTAATTTAATGTAGGATATTTAGAACGGGAGGGCAGCTAGGTGGTTCAATGGATAGAGCACAGGGCCTGGAGTAAGGAAGACTCATTTTCCTGAGTTCAAATCTGGCCTCAGACACTTACTAGTTATGTGACTCTGGGCAAGTCACTTAACCCTATTTGCCTCTGTTTCCTCATTTGTAATATGAGGTGGAGAAGGAAACGACAAACCATTCTAGTATCCGTGCCAAGAAAACCCCAAATGGGGTCATAAAGAGTCAGATACAATGAAACAACTGAACAACAGAATTTAGAAAAAGAAGGCTTGGGAAGTTAACAGCTAGCTAAGGTGGTTACTGAAAATGGGATTTGGATTTCAGAGCCACACCTTGAACTATAGGAATGATGAGCTTTTGGCCAAGAATGGAGGCTATGTTATGAGGGGCTGGTAGAAGCATGTTTGCCTAGAGTTCCATATATCTGGTCAAGATGCCTATAAATGCAAAATGAAAGTGGTGGGAGAAAACTGTGCACATGGATCTGTAGAGCTTGGTATTGTAGAAAGTACCAGGTGAAGCGCAAGGAGAAAAAACCAGGAATTCATGGGAGAAGATATCCACAAAGAGGCAGCAGAGAAGTTCATGGATTTTGACGTCAGCACACAAATGCACAAAGCATGAGCAGTATGGAAGGCAAAGGGTGCAAACTGGGCCTCGTGGGTGTGTCCAAGGTTCAGCTGAGACTCGTGGAAGAGTTCACTTTACCCCAAAGAATAAAAGGGTCTGGGAGCTACAGGGAGGCAGATCGAGGTGGGGGCATAAGAAACAAACTTGCTCATAATTAGAGCTGTTCAAAAGGGACACAGGCTGTCTCAAGAAATAGTACGTGCCCTTTCACTGAATGTCTTCAAGTGAGGACATGAGGACCACTTGTTGGCAGTATTGAAAAGAGGATGCTTAGTCGGGTCTGGGTTGGACCAACTGGCCACTAACATCCCTTCCAACTCTTAGATTGTGTGATTCTGTAGATTCATCTCTTCATTTGGGCATCATGGCAGGCAGGATCATTTTTCCATCTTTTGCTCTTTGCTGGTTTGTGAGGTAATACTCTTCACAATTTTCAATTCAGTTATTTCGTACTACCTACTCTGTGTAAGACAGTGTGCTGCATATTACGGGAATAGAATGACAAATATTATATAGCCTCTGCTCTCAAGGAGCTCACCTGTTAGGGGAATATAGCATGCATGGATAAGCATAATGTAAGGAAAGGGGAGTGAAGGAGTCGATGGAGGAAATCAGACAAATTGCTCTAGTATAATATGAAGAAGCAGAGATCACTTTCACCTGGAGAAGTCATGAATGAAGGAGAATATAAACTGAGCTTTGAAGAAAGATAAAGATTCTAAAAAGTGCCCATGAAGAGGGCATGCATGGCAGGCATGGGAGGCAGCTTGTCCCAATGTCCAGGGACAGGAGATAGGATAGTGAGACAGCATGGCATTTGAGGAACAGCAGCCAGGAATCCAGTTGGACTGGAACGTAGAATGCTGGAGGAGGAGTAATGTGGAACAAGGGGGAGGAGGTAGGTTTGATGTAGGTTATAGAAAGGCTTAAATGCAAGGCTGACAAATCCATATTCTCTCGAGGAGACAATAGGGAGGTCCAGGGTGTCATGTTTTGCATGTGTTGAGCTTGAGATGTCTATGGGACTGTGAAGGTTTTTGTGCAAGAGAGGAATGTTTGGGGAACGGAGGTGGGTAATAGCACCTTTTGTTTCTTAAATCCCAATCCATCATTTCCAATGTTCCTCCCCTGCATTTCCTGTGCCCAACTCTCATTGAAGTCATCTAACAACTGTGTATACTTTGACTTGGTTTGGAGGATTTTGTGAGACCTTTGTAGCGTCCTCTCTACTTGTTCATCTTTCATAGCAGATATTGGTGCCCTTCCCTGCATATCTCCAGGTTGTTTGTGTTCACCATTTGCTTGCACATCAAGGCTGACTGGGGATGACTAGGGATCCCAGGAAAAAAGGTGGTGCCTGTTCCCTTTGGGCCCACAATGAGATCAGTGCCACCAATGTTTTCTTTCCCTCTTCTGAGAATCTTGGAGCTGTCCTTCCATTTCAGCTGCAACTTCTTGGTCTTCTGGTTTTATTTATAGTGAATAATGTCAGTATGGCTGAAGTTCAGGTCCTCCAATATGTACCAATTCACTGGTCATTGGACAAAGACTCTTACATCTGAAGCCCTAACAGTTAAACAAAGGTTTGTAGGCAGTCTAAAAATGGTGTGATTCTCAGCCTAAGGACCATTTAAAACAACTGCTAGTGGGTCATCACAGCCAGAATAATTCATTACTTAGTGAATGGCCTGTTGGTGATAAACCACCCTGTATTTAGCTAGGTTGGTGCTTAGACAGCTGATAGTGTGTATTTCTAGGGATTTAGCCAAAGCCCTTCCAGTTTGCTAGAACCAGGGCATGCATTCCACCAGCACAGCCTTTGAGAAACTGGGTCACTTCTATGCCATGATGAGTCATCGGAGGAAGACTGTTGTGGAGGGCAGCTTGTCTTATCACTTAAGGGGCATGGAAAATGGGATTTTTTTACCTTAAAAAATATGTACGTTAATAAGAGATCATTTTAAAAAGTCTCCTTCATTTTGCTTTCTATAATGTAGCACCCTAAATGGTTGCATTTCTTGCCTTCTCTAAGCTGACTTTGTTTATCTTCATCTAGTCCACCTCCTCCATTATATAAATGAAGAAATTGAGGCCCAGTGAGGGTAATGGGCCTGCCTGAGGCCTCAGAGTGAGGCAGTGATAAAGCTGGGACTAGAATTCTGGCCTCTACTCCAAGTCCAATTGTCTTTCAACTCTGGTTGCTTTCCCCTAGAGCTGCTGCTGCTTTTCTAGGGCTGAAGAATTGCAGAGCACCAGGGCTGGAAGAAACTTTAGAAGTCTTCAAGTCCAACCTCTAATCCCATCTATGCTGTCCATAGCAAAAAGCATCCAACCTTCACTTAAACACTTCCAGTGATGGGGAATTTACCATTGTTCTCAGCTCATAATCACTCAGTGCCTGACTTCTGAAACTCCCTGAATTAGTGGTATAGGCTCACACCAGGTCCTTCAATTTCTTCTTTCCCCAAATCTAGCTTTTGGGTCAATAGCATCCCATAGTGCTTTTGGTCACTAAAACTCACCATTGTTGACAGTGAATTTTTTTTTAAACCTGGTTCACAAGAAAGGAGTTCTGGATTCAGGATTCAAAATCCATGCCTAAAGTCATTTCTTGTACACCAATTTCTTATTTGGACTAGATGACTCTAAGCAAAGATCCTTCTATTTCCAATATTGTAACATTATAAGACCCCTTTCAAGGGGATATAAACATGGTTGTGAATTGTCATGGACAGCTAATGATTCTAATAGTGAAGTGAAATTCTGTTAAATGTGATTGTATTAAATATTGCAGTATTGTAAAAAGAGCCCTGGCTTTGGAGGCAGGTGGCTGGGGTTAAAGTACCTTCCCTCTCTGGGCACAATAGTCCTCACCTGTAAAATGACGGAGTTGGACTAGCTTATCTACCCCTTTCACCTCTAGACCTGAGATTGAAATGGAGACTTGGGTTGTGGAAAAACGGCAAAGACAGCAGGAGAGAGGAGGGCCTGAGAGTGTAGGTGGAAAACTGTTAGAAGTTAAAATTGGAAGAAAATGAAATGATTGTTGGAGGCCACAGCATAATCAAGGACAGATGTATGTGAGTACCTGTGCTTACAAATAAATAGAAAATATAAAAGATACAAGAAGAGAAAGAACTTGGGGGCTAAACATCCCTAACTGTCTAGCTAATAAGAGAAAACATTGACATGAGAACATCAAATACAAGGTGTCCCAAAAGTCTTAGTGCAGTCACTTAAATTAATTGCAGTAATTAAATTAATATATTAATGAGCATATTATAATAACATGTGAATATAATTATATTAATATAATACATAATGTGTTATATTTTAATATAATTATATATAATATATAACAATATAATTATGACAATATAATATATGATTATAATATATTATTAAATTATAATGTATAATTATATTATTAAATAATATTAATTATATATAGTTAATATAATTGTTAGAATATTAACCATTATATTGATAAATAATATAGTATATCATATATAATATGGAATAATATTATATATAACATATTAATATAATAGCTATTAAACTAATAATAGCTTAAGCCTGCACTAAGACTTTTGGGACATGCTATACTCATGTAAGCCTCTTTGACCTTATATAAATTCTCTTCACTGAAGGTGCTGCCAGGGCTTGGATCCTATTAGGTCTCCCCAAGTTGTGGTGACTATGCAATTCAATGCAATTCTAAATTCCACTTCAAATATAATTAAATGTATAATAAGTTTCTACTGTGTGCAGAACCTTGTGGTGGGAGTTTATCTAAACTAACTATAGACAAGGCATTTGAGTAGCACAATGGAGAGTCTCGTCAGCAAGCATTTACTTGACTTGGATGGAGTATTTATTGTACCTGCAGGCTGGAAGACAGATTCAGATCCTGCCTCTGGCATTTTACTAGCTATAAGTGTAACTCTGGGCAAATCCTTCAACCTCTCTGTCTCTGACCATCTAGAAAACAGGGATAAGAATATCTTCCTCAAAAGGATATTGCTATAGTTGAGGGATATTGAGATAATAGTTGTCAAGAGCTTTTCAAACCTTAAAACACTATATATGAATTTTAATAAAGTAAGACACGGGTTCCTACCTGAAGAGAGCTAAGACATACAGATAGCTATAACACAAAAGAATAATCTCATGCGGGAGATGCCAAGTGCTGGGTAAGGTCTGACATCTTCAAAGTTTGTTGTCAAGTATATCAGTGATCAACGATGTCTTCATGACAGAGTTGGCTTCGAGTTGATCTTGGGTGGGTATTCAGCAGGCCAAGAGGGGGAGGGGTGACATTTCCAGCACAGGAATTGGTCTCAGAAAAGTCATGGTGGTAGAACACAGAGTGCGTTTGGGGTACAAAGATTTATCCAGTTTGGCTGGAGCATAGAGAGGAATACAGTCAGGGAAGATTCCCAGGAAAGGATGGTTCCACATTGTGGAGGACCTTGGATGGCAAAGATCACTGGACAAGGAGTTGGAGCTTTCCTTGCTAGGCAACAGGGAGCCACTGAGGAATTTTGGGTGGAAGAGTAACAGGCCCAGATAGATGTATAAAGAAGATTATTCTGGTAGCTGAATGACATTGGTTAGAGTGAGGGTGATGGTAGAGGCAGGAGTACTGGCAAGGAGCCTGTTATCCTAGTCTAAGTAGGTGGTAATAAGTGCTTTGACTAGGCTAGCGTGTGGGAATACAGCAGAGGAGGCAGATGTAAGAATGATTATGGAGGTAGATCTGCTAGGGTCTTCTACATGTTTAAAAAGCTGTGTTTAAAACTGCCCTAGAACTTTTGGGACACCTAGCGTAAAAGAACCAGGGCAATGGGGGACCTGAGGCATCCCATCAGATCTCCCCTTTCTCTCCCCTGTTATCTCTGCTAGGACCACCTTTGTATTGTGGGATGGGAGCTGCCCTGGTTGTCAGGAGAGGCCTGCGTTTGAGACTCGCCTCTGACAGCCACTGGCTGTGTGACCATCCTCTGGGCCTCCAATCTTTCTCTGGAAAATGGGACAGATATCTGTACTACGCACTTTGCAAGGCTATGGTGGTGCACAAATGAAATGTGTTTAAAGTGCTTTTGTGAACCTCCAAGCAGTCTTGTGACCACTATTCTCTGCTGTGGTGCCTGTCAGTCACCCTGGGCATTTTCAAGTTAATGTGACAACATAAATGTAAACTCTGTGGACAGATACCCCCATCAGTCCTTGAAAGATGGAAATTCTGAGTCAGCTGCTTATCCTCAATCTTCCTGCCTCTATTCTCACACTTCTTACATGCCATGGTCTGTTACTATGCTCATGTCCCACAGGGATTTATGCAAAACACTCACTTTTAAAATTTCTTGATGATTTTCTGACGCATACAACCTTCCATCTCGAACTATGTCTTCTATTAACTGTTGATAATCCTCTGTGAAATGAAGGCAGAGAAGAAGAAAAGTGATTTGAGACCATCAGCTTTAAATTGCTTTCTTCCTTCTGTCCCCTCTCAGCCAAGAAGTTACTGCATCGGCATGTGGCCAATACAGAGGCTCAGGTAGACCACACAGAAATGTTCTTGGAGCCTACGGCCCAACCCACAGACAGAGCTTTGTTTTGTCTTGTGTCCCTGGCACTCAGAAGAGTGCCTTACCTGTAGTAGGTGCCCAGTAAATATTTGTTGAATTGGATTGGACATGAAGACATAAAAAATGATTCCTGCTTACCATCGTAGGTCACGTAGGGTACTTGGAATCCTTTGCCGCTGTTTCCTTCATTTGATTTAAACTGAATCCAGAGCTTTCGAGACCGGGACGTGAAGGCTATGGGCCTCTCATAGGTCTGGCACGTTTCATAAGTGGTGATGGACGTGGGGGAAGCTGCAAAGTAGAGCAAATGTCGCTGTGTTGGAGGCCATCCTGTGTTTTCTCCCCCGGGGCCTGCCTGACATTAGCATGACAGTCCTTTGGATTTAAGGTGAAGATCCTAGTGCTTCCCATTGGGAGGGAGCATGGACACTCAGGAAAGGGAGGGTCTTTCCCTTTTGCCACCACTTTGTACCCAGCTACACTAGCTCAGAACTGGGGGTGTGTGTTCTTTGGGGCTCTTCTCTTTCCCTTCCCTATTTCCAAGCCATGCTCAAGGCCTGTTGCTTTTTACCTCTGTATCCATCTTCTCTGCCCTCACATAGCCCTGCCCTTGAGTTCAGGAGCACATTGACATTCAATGAGATAAGCATAATTGGTTCCTAATTGGACTTCCTGACTCCATGCTCTCCTCCCTCTAAGCTAGTCTCAATGCACAGGGCTGGCCATTTCATTCCCCTGCAAAAGAAATCTCGACACGATACAATGCCTGGCATTGTAAGGCCCTCCATCTTCTGGCTCTACCCTCCTTTTCCAGCCTTTCCAGGTTTTACATTCCCTCCCCCCAGTGGGCACACTTGATGTTTCATGCTTTGCCCAGGATGCGTCCCATACCTGGAACACACTCTGTGCTTCACTCTGCCTGTTGCATCTTCCTTGTCCTTCACAGGCCTAGCTCAGCTGTCCCCTCCCCCATGAGCCCTTCTCAGGCCTGCTCCTGCCCTCACTCCCAGCTTTCCCCTAGCCTTCCTAGAGGACTTTGTCTGGACCTTTCCTTTGCTCAGTGCATGCTAACTTGTGGCACACTTATTTGTGTACCTGTCAGGACACAACTCCCCCCGACCCCAGTAGAAGGTGAGCCCTTTGAGGTCAGGACTGGTGCCTTATGTAAAATCCAGCTAACCAGAAGGCCTTGTTTGGCTGTTTAGTTATTCTCATTCATCCCAACAACAACTTTGGCAAGGTCAGGGGAAGAGAGAGAGGGTGGTGCAGAGCAGGGATTATTATTTCCATTTCTTGGCTAAGACACTGAAGAAGAAGAGGAAAGGAACTGCCCAGAATGACACTGGTCATGACTGATAGAGCCTGGCCATGGTCCCGGGGTCATTCTGACTGAAGTCCAAGGCTCCTGCTAAGGCGCCACACTGCTCCTGAGAGACCGTGACAGTGATGACATTGCCTTCAAAAGTAAGGCCTGTCTGTACAAATGCAAGGTGTTAGTGTTGGTGTGGTTATTTACACAGCTGGCTAGTACTCGGGAGGAGCCTGGTCTAGGGAAGGCTTTTAGAAAGAAATGTAAGAGCATGTGGTATAAGTGTCTCCCTCTTTCATCTGTAAGATGAGTAGGTTGCACTAGGTGACTTCTAGGGTTCCCTGCCACACTTGAAACGTTGTTATTCTTTTATGGTGTGATGGGATACAGGGACTCTAATTGGCCGCAAGAGATTAGTGGTAGGGTGCTGGGCTTTTGTGAAAATGTGAGTTTCATGGCAAGAGCCCTTGATGGGAGTCAAGAGACTCAGGCTGATTCCAGCTCTGGCACTTACTAACTGTATCACTCTGGGGAAGTCACTTCCCCTCCCCAGGCTCAGTTTCCTCATTTAAAAAATGCAGATAAGAATCCTTATAGTTATCTGACATGGGATATTGTGAGGAAAGTCCTTTTTTCAAACATTAAAAATGAGATGTCAATAATAATGCTAAATACTGACAATACTTTGATGGTTCAGTGGGCTTTCCTTTACCAGAATAGATTAAACTGGACCACTGACTTACTAGATCTGCTCTTCAAAAACTAGCTTGGATCCAAATGTAGAGAGAGGGTCTTTACTCTTCAGCAGTGAATTCTTTGGCTCTGGTATTTTATGAAACATCATAATAGTGACAGTGATTTGGAATTTAGGTCATTATTAACAGACATATCCTTTGACTTAAAGTTCCCCATAGTTCATCACCAGCCACTTACAACTTTTTCTCATCACTAAAACATCGCCACATTCATCTTCGATGGGCAGGAATATCTCTGGCACCACAATGAGAATTCTCCTCTTGGGTGGAGGGTGGATGTTCCATATGCATTCCACGTTGGCTGGGTAGTCACCAGGGTAATTGGGAGACTCGATGTAGCCAGTGTAATCTCCCAGTTCTCCTCCACAGTGCTGGTCTGTGGAGAAACCAGAGCCTTCTTGAGAACAGAGTCTGTGTCTTATTCATCTTTGTACCAATCTCTCCTTATGCACCCTTAATGTTTGTGGAGTGAAGGAAAGTAAAATTAGGGATCGCGCTTCCTCCTGGCCATACGTGAACTACTAAATGCTTAGGTTTCCTGGGCCCTGAGAGTGAGAATTGACCAGTGTCTGAACAGCGTCTTTGTATTCTACCCCCATCCGTAAGAGAAGATGGTGAGGACAAAGTTGCTGTCTTCAAGTGTCTGAATGGCTGGTATGCAGAAGAGCCATTCGCCTGGTTCTGCTTGGCCGTGGGGGACAGGACTAGACTCGGGCGGTAGAAAAGACAAAAACACAGATTCAGGCTCCCTGGATCCCCAGAAGGAGCTACTTCTTACGCAACTGGAGCTACCCAAAAGTGAGACTGATTCTTTAGGGAGGTGATGGGTTTCCTGTTGCAGGAGATTAGCAAGTACAGGCGCTAAATCCTTTGATCCTGAGGTCCAGACCAGAACTTTTGGTACAGGTTCAGTCTAGTTAGTTGAACAGTGATGAACACCCAGTGGTTAAACCCAGACTGTGGTGCTGACCTAGCTAGAGACTTCATAATAAATTGCTGATAAACATCTATAACCCTCAGGTCTGACATCTGACTACAAAGGATGTGTTCAGGCTGTAACGATTAGGCCTTGGTCTGGGAGAGCTACTTCATGGGTTCCTCAAAACTTGGAAGGTATTGTCCATTTAGAAAGGTCTGTGATGGATGTAGCCTTTCTGTCTGGAGGTGCTAGATCAGTCCCGTGTGGCTGTGGGGCCTGGGAAGGCTGTATGGAAGCCAGCTTTTCTCTCGCCCAGCTCCACTACTGTGGCAGAAGTGCTGCTCATGACAAAGGGGCGTGAGGGGCTGCAAAGCAAGGCCTGGGAAATTAAGCAGGAAGTGACGAAGGGCTCCTAGCAGGGCTTGGTTTCCTGTCCACTCCCAACCCCTTCCATCTTGGTGTGACCTCTTCTGGGCTATGCAAAATCCACCCACAGACTCAGAGCCAGAAGGCACCTCAAAACTCATGTGGGCCAATCCTCTCCACCTTGCTCTCATACCCTGAACTCCCACAGTGTTGCAGAGGAGGAAGCAGACCCACAGCAGGGGACTGGCTCGCCCACAGTCCCGTGGCCTCTAAATAGCAGATTCAGGTTTTCAACCCAGGCTCTCTAGCTAGACATCCTGTCAACTATATCATGTCTCCTTTAGAAAACAAGTTTTATCCTGGAATCAGTGCAGGGACAATAGCTAGCTTTTGTCTAGCATTTATACAGAGCTTTACAGTTTGCAAAGCACTTTACAAGGACGGCCTCATTTGATCCTCACAACAACCCTAGGAGGGAGGTGTTGCTATTATCTTCATTTTACACATGAGGAAACTGAGGCACATAGTGCTCAGGTGACTTACCCAGGGTCACACAGTAAGCGTCCGAGGCTGGATGTGCACTCAGAGCTTCCTGATCCCAGATCCACAGCTCTGTCCACTGGGCCGCCTTGCTGCTTGTGCTAGTCACCAGGCCTTTAAGTGATGTTTGTGCCTGCAATCCTAAGCCCTATCTTTCCTTCTAAAAATGGAGACAATAATGCCTGTCCTGCTTCCTTCTCTCACAGTTAGGGAGATAGTCAAATAAGAGAATGTATATGAAGGTGCATTAACTATAAATGCCATACAGAAGCAGACAGGTATCTTAATCGTTACTTCGCAATGCATAATCACAATCATTATTATTTTTAGCAGTAATGGACTCCCAGACTCCTCAGTGCTGTGCTTATGGCTGTCGCCCCAGCAGGAGGAGAGACGACTTACTTTTACAATGAGTGACGTTGGTAGAGCCGTCGAAATCGGTGCTTGTGTTACCAGGGCAAGCTATGCAGTAGTTCTGACCAAATTCTGGTTGGTAGGTGCTGACAGGGCACCGGATGCAGCGATGGGTGGAGGAGTTGTAGGAGTGTCCAGGAGAACAGTGGACTGCAGAGAGGCGCAAGAGGAGCAGTTAACTAGCAGCACCAGCAGACGCAGGACTCGCTCCGTGCATCTCGTTCTCTCGCTCCCGTCACAGCGTTGTCACGAGCGACTTTTCACAGGACTCTGGCCTCTGTGACTCGTATGCCCGAGTTGCAGAGATTGCTTCTGTCTGGCCTTGTAAATCAGCAGAACTCCCTATTTCTCTCTAACCATGCCTAAACCTTACTTGGTCTTAAAAACCCAGCTAGTGCTCAGTTCCTTCATGAAGTCTGCCTTGGCTACTCCGCCCTTCACTGCTTTCCTCCTTCCTCTGAGCTAGAGAATTTGTTGTTAGTCTTGGGCAGACTGCCCCATCCTCTATCATAAGTATAAAGATGAGATGAACAGTGGCTCCACCATGGAACCTCAGGAGCTAGACGGTCTGACTGCAGAGGTCATCTAGACCAGCTTCCTCATTCTACAGATGAAAAAAACTGAGGCCCACAGAGGTGATAGGACCTGGCTTGCTCAGTTCTCCATTTGGGGGAAGGAGGGGAGCTCTTAACAACTAGACAGGATAGTCAAGGCATGAGAAGAGAGAAGGATTCATCTCAGTGAGGCGGCCTGCTTGTGCTGGTCTGGGTCTGCAGGTTCCGTCTCGTATGTATATGTGTCTATATTTGTGAGTGTGTCTGCATGTGTGTATATGTGTACATGCACATGCATAAGTGTGTCTATATATATGTGTTTATGTGTGTCTGCATAGAGGTGAACACAGATGTGTATGTATGCTTGTGTTGTGTCATTAGGTGTATGTGCGTGTAAGCCTGTATATGCATGTATGTGTTGTGTACATGGGTATGGGTATGGGTGTATGCATGTGTGACTAAAGCTGGAAATCAGTTGTAAAACAAGATATAAAACCTTAGAGAGTGTTCGAAGGAGCTAGAAGGAACTGCTTTTCATTTGGTCTCTTTACCTTCAGTACCTAGGACAGTTCCTTGTACATAGCAAGCACTTAATAAATGCTTGTTGGATCACACCAGATTGTACTATTATAGCATGACCCCACTTGGAAAGCTTCCTCTAACTTGCCAAGTGTGCATGGAAGCTCTGGACCCCCTCTGTGGTCCATGGCTGCGGCTGCATTATTCCACTTCCAAACCTGCTGCTGAATATTAGAAGCAGGAATGGGTGCGAGGAGGGTGTATTTACCTTTTGTCTCACAGTCTTGGAATGAAACAGCTCCTTCATGCTTGGTCACCAGCCCCCCTCCACAGGGGAAGCACAGGGTGCGTCCTGGCTCGGGCTGGTAGGTGCCCAGAGGACATGGCCTGCAAGGTTTGAAGCCATCGGATGAGTAGAAGCCAGGAGAACACTGTCCTGAAAAATTAAAAGTCATCTCTTATGGGAGGAAGCTGGTCCAGTAGGGACCAGTGGCCTGGGGACAGCTTCTGAAATGACAGCCACCAGCAGACCAGCTACATCTGTGATTTAGCTCTTCCTACAGCCCACAGGTAGAGGGGAAAGCCCCAAAGGCACTGCGGGCAAATTCTGGAGAGAGGAGAGTTTCTAAAGCTGGCTTAGAGAGCAGGGCTCACAGCTCTGGAACCAAGCATTTGGGGAATTCAAAGTTGAGAACAGAGGGGCCACTTTGATCGGCTCTGATAGAGCAACTGACTGGATCTGCAACCTCATCCCATTTTTTACAGAAGAATTAGATAGAAATTCATGGGATTTAGAGCTAGAAGGACCTTATAGGTCACATAGTACAAGCTTATTTTACAGACACCAAGAGTAAAAGCCCAGGGTTACGTGGGTAGAAAGCAGCAGAGCTCTCATGTGGAGGGGGCTGATCTTTCCATTAGGTCATGGATTTCTTAGCCTCCCCAGTGGCTAGGACTGTGCATTGAGATGCTGTTTCCATGGGGGCTGGGACTATAGAAAGCAGGCTGGTCTGGTGCAAGCCTGGGATGAACTTTACATGGGATTGCATGAGGGTCCAAGAGAAGGAAAACCGATGCTTTTATGTCGGTAGCACAGCATTACACAGAGTCCTCTCCCAATCTTTCCCTTGGTTGGTGGCTTGACCTGAGTTGATGTAATTCCATTGAGTAGAATGACCCAAGTAGTGTGGGCCTAATGGTAAGTGCCTCTGCTTTCCAAGACTGAGACAACATAGGGCAGGGGGTGGACTTGCCCACTCCTAGAGAAATCAAATTTCACTTGCCTCCGCATTCGGACACATTTCGGGCGCCTGCTACGCCTTGGCCATCGTTACTTGGGCAAGGCTCACAGGTGAGCTGACCTTCTGTATCTTGATAGGTTCCTGGCAGGCAAGGAAGGCACTCACTGTGCTCTCCGCTGTAATAGGTGCCTGGTCCACAGGTCACTGAAAAAACAAAACAGAACCCAACCATGAGAACATTCTTGAATTTGCTTCTAGACCAGGAGGACCTCAAGCCTGTATCTCTCGGAGGCTTCTGCCTGCCTCATTCTCCTTTCACTTCCTGCCCAAGAACAGGGACAGCTCTTGCTCATCTTCTCCCTCAGATAGGATCACAGATCTAGAGCTGGAAGGGTCCTTAAAGGCCATCTAGTCCAGCTCTCTTCTTTTACAGATGAAGAAACTGAGGCCTGGAGAGGCGAAGTGATTTGCCAAGTTTGTAGGTCTAACCCTGCCTACTCCATGGAAGCGTTGCTGGTGCCATTAGAGGGGATGAATGAGAGGGAACCAGATCCTTTGAAGGGAGGCAGGTGGGGCCAGTCATAAATTCTTGGCCATTCCCATAAGAAGACATGCATGGCAGTGTCCATAACTTAGCCTGGATACTTTCACCACCTGTACACGTGCTATCTTTAGCTCCCTAGATAAATCACAGATCGTGGACCAGAATAGAATAGAAGCTGGGAGGGGACCTGAGGGATTGTCTACTGTAACCCTCTTCTTTTTTAGAGGAGAAGTGTCTCTCCCAAGGTCACATGGGTAAAAGCTAAGGTTATGGAGCTTTGGATTCTCTCCTCCAGCCTTCCTAACTTCTTGGCTCTGGACCAGCCTACCTCAAGGGGGAGTGGGGAGAATTAGAACATGTGGGTGATTTCCTGGCACATTTCCTCTTCTCAGACCTCTGAAATCTGGCTCCTGTCACTTAACAGAAGCTACTCCCTTCAAAGTTACCGTTGGTTGACCCTTTAAGTTTCAGGTCTTATGACCGTTATCGGCCCTCATCCTTTTTGACTTTGCTGACTGCTCCCTTCTCCTGGATATTCTCTCCTCTTTGGGATTTCGTGATGCTGCTTTTTCTTGCTTCTCTTTCTACCTGTCTGACCACCTCTTCTCAAACTCCTTTGTTAGACCATCATCCATATCGCGTCCCCTAACTATAGAGGTCCCCGAAGGTCTTGTTCTGAGCCTCCTTCTCTTCTCTTTATATACTGTCTGTGTTCAGAAATTCTGAGTGGTTTTCTTGTTATTATTTCTTGAATTACAGTGTTGAGGTTTTTTGAGATGTGTTCTTTTGGAAGATCTATGATGCTTAAGTTGTCTCATGCAACCTATCTTCCAGATCAATATGTTTTGCTTGTATAAAGATCATGTTTTCTTTCAACATTATGCTTTTTGCTTCTCTTTTTTCCCCAGATTGTCCTACACTTCTGTGTATATGCATCACGAATCAATTGTTCTCTTTTTACTTCTTTGGTACGATTTACCAGTAGATAGAGTGCCAGGTCTGGAGTCAAGAAGACTCCTCTTCCTGAGTTCAAATCTGGCCTCAGACTCTGGGCGAGTCACTTCACCCTGTTTGCCTCAGTTCTTCATCTGTAAAATGAGCTGGAGAAGGAGAGGGCAAACTCCTCCAGCATCTTTGCCAGGAAAACCCAAAACGGAGTCACAGAGAGTCAGACACAACTGAAAAATGACTCAGCGACAAATTCACACCTTGTGTTCTGGCGGTCCTTTCTGCTGTGCAGGACACACATTTTGCTTTCGTGATTCTTATTTCCCTCTTGAACTTACAACAACATTTTGTTGTACTTCCATGATATCTTAGGAATCCGTCAGGTCATCTGCCTCATCTGATGTGGATTAATTTTCCTTTGTCTCACAATATTCAGAGATGTTTGGACTCGTTTAGCTGATCTGGAGGTTATGTTCCCTTGTGTTATTAATATCTCCCCTTTTATTAATATCTCCTCTGCCTGTGCTCAAAGTTTTTAACTTTGTTTTCTTTCTCCTGAGGTCTTTGGGAACTTCAGTCTCTTTACCTTCTATTCCCCTATATCACTCACTCTCTGACTCCTTCCCCTTTAATAGTGGCTTCCTAGGGGGCAGTTCTAGCTTTCTCCTACACTGGGAAATTTACTTTTCCATGGTCTTAGTCTGTGCCCCAAGTGAATTTTGTTTTTGGTGGGGCACAGATCTGGCCCCAGCTGGATGTCAGTCTTCTTTCCCTTGGCCTGGTGGAACCACACACCCACAGTGACATTCTGCATCTCTATCCTTTAGTTTTCTGACTGAATATTGTTTCAGCTTCTACTCTGTTATCTCAGGCAGGGCAAACTGCTCACTTTCCTATATATTGGCCTCAAGGCAAGAGAGGATGTGGCCAGAGTGGGTTGTGGGGCAAGTCATTGAGCTGTGCTACTGTGCCATAGCATGGGGGCTAATAGAGAAAGGGATGTTAAGTTGGCACTTTGGGGATTAGGGATTAGCCTTCTCTGCTGCTAGTTTATTGGGTTGTGACCTCATTAGGGTTCTTGGTCTCGGATGGGTGGGGACAGCTGCGATTTCTTTGTCCCTTGAGAATACTTTTTTATTGTTCCATGACCTATAAGTATCTGTACTTTCTCATGTGGTGGTGACCTCATTAGCTCCCATGAATAGCAAATGACTACCAAAATCTATATACTCAGCTTTATTCTCCTAAGCCCCAGTCCTCCATCACCAACTACTTATTGGACATTTCAAAATGGATCTCCAATAGGCATCTTAGACTCAGGATGTCCAACACATAAGTCATTAACTTTCCCTCAGACCCTCTCTTCTTCTGATCTACTCTGTTTCTGTCTAGGTTACGCCATCCTTCTAGTCATCCTCAGCTCCTCACTCCTTTGCTCCACATGTCAGTCTTGTCCTTGTTACCTCCATAATCTCTCTTCCTTCTCTCCACTCACATAATGACCCCCTCAGATCAGGCTCATCACCTCCTACCCGGACCACTGTAATACAGTAGTTATTGTAACAGCCTCCTGTTTGGCCTCCCTGCCTCAAGCCTCTTCTCTGCTACGCTCCCTCCCCCACAGCCTGCCCAAGCTCAGCAAACTCTTGTGGCTTCCTGTTACCTCTGGGATCGTATACAAACTTCTCTGTTGGGCATTTTACAGTCCTTCCCAAGCTGGCTCTGATCAACCTTCCCAGGTTCGTTGTACTTTACTCCCCTTCACATACTCTGTGGTGTGGACAAACCAGTCCCCTTAATGTTCCACATACACAGCCCTCCAATTCCCATCTCCCCCCTCCATCCCCCTGCCTGAAATCCTCCTCCCTCTTTAGAATCTTTGGTCTCATTCGATGCTAGGCTCAAGTGCAACCTTTTCCATGAGGCCGTTCCTCCTTGCCCCTACCCTGTACTGTGTACATACATATACACATACACATATACATACACAGATACATATACATATATACATACATATCATACATATACATGTTTTGTATCTATCTACATATATATATATATATCTACATATATATATATATATATATATTTATATTTATACAGATATGTTGTCTCCCCCACAGAACGCAGACTCCTTGAGAGCTGGGACTATTTCCCTTTTGTATTTGTAGCCCTAGGAGTTGGTCCAGTGGCAGGCACATAGTAGGTACTCAACAAATACTGACTGACTGACTTACCACACTTCCCGTCCTGCAGCACCAGGCCAGGGCTACACGTTTCCTGCCCTTCAGGAGTTCTAGCTGGTTTCTGGGCCACTTCATAGTCTGTACCCGAAAACTGAAGGTAAAATTGCTGTTTATTAATAGATTTCCGCAGTGTTTTGATGGCGGCCTGCAACTTCTGCTCCAGCTTTTTCCGGACACAATCAGTGTTACAGGTGTCTGAGTAAGAGATGAACAGGTGTAGTTTTTAAAAGTGACTCACATTTTTATAATGCTTTAGGGTGGACAAACTTCTTCCCTCACGATAGCCTTGGGAAGTAGCTAGGGTGAAGATTATTATCCCTCTTTCTCAGATGAAGAAACTGCTGAGAGCTTCAGTGATTTGTCCAGGGATACTTGAGGCCTACACTCCAGACTTCTGACCAATTCTGGGCCAGGCTTCTTTCTACTTAAACTCCACAGCCCCTGTTTAGCATCCCAGACAGGAGCGAGACCTCCTGGTACAGTGGATGGCACCCTGGGTTGGAGCCGGGAGGTCTGCATCTGCAGCCGCCTGAGCTGTGGGAGAGACCCTTGCCTGGTGTCACCATGCCTTCTTTTTGCCTTAGCTTCCTCAAGTGTACACTGGGATCCGAAGAGCACCTAGCCACAGGGCTGCTGTAAGGATCAAGTGAAAGGGCTGGCAGCTGTGCAGCAGACCTTAAAGGGACCAGAGAATGGAAGCTGCTGTCATCACTAGGACTCACTTGGGATTTCATTGGTATCAGGAATTTCTGATGAGGAAACCTGCTTCTCCTAATGAGGTCCATGACTCTTTTGCAACTCAGAGTCTCCTGAGGTATGGAGAAGCTGAGCTCTTTCCTCAGGGTCACTTTGGTGAGTAAGGACATGTCCAAGGTGGGCCCTGAGCCGCCCTCTCTGACGCTGAGGCCTGCTCTCAGGCCAATGCCCTGCTGCCTCGTCTAAGCATCCTCTTGGCATTGCTGTTGTTAGCACTGTTTCTTAAAGTGTCCCAGAGAAAAGGCCCCTTTGGGTCACCTGTTCAAGCATATTACCAGCCCACAGAGCAGGGTATCTTCTACCTTGAATCCTTATGGCAAAAATGTGTGTGTATGTATACGTACACATATGCGTACGTTTATATTTGTGTGAATATATGTGACATAACATGTAGTATATATTATGCACACACATATATACATATATTCTTGTTATAAAATTATTGCATAAAATAATAAAAGTCTGTCAGATGACCTTTCACAAACCTGAGACCTCATCAGACTTCACCTCTACCTCAAACTCGGCAGTGATATGGGACACTTCCTTTGAAGGAGACTTGCGGCCCCGACGCTTCTTCTTGGATGAGTCACACTGCAGGTTCACAAAGGTCACTTGGCAGTTGTCTGTACAAGAGAATTGACCACCTTGGCATAACAGAGGTGACGTGAGAGAGACAGACGAGAAGCATGGGGCAGGCAGAGCTAGGAGGGCAAGGATTGGACTGGGCATGGAGAGGGCCCTCAGGAAAAGCCAAGTGAGTGGATGGATGCACCATTAACCCGAGGCCTACAGGAGGAGTTGGTAGGTGTGACTTCAGTTATTAAGGGCCTACTGCGTGTGGGTACTAGGGGCATGGAGCTGGCAAATGACGCTGTCCCTTCCCTCAAGGCACTTACAATCTAATAGACAACTACAGCGTAAGCTAGAACAGGATTAAGGCCATGGGAAAGGTCAGTGGCATCCTTTACCACTGCAGACTGGCAGCTCCTTGGCATTGCCAGAGAGGTTAGGGGCCACGCCAGGTCCTCCTAGCTTGGAGGCCTGCTCCATCCACTGTACCACCGTGTAATGGTATAATTTACACATAAATGTAATTAATGGAAGTTAAGCTGTCACTTCAACAACTGTAATATTTTTGTGATGGGGAAGTGAACCCAGGCACAAAAAGCTCAGAAGATATAAGCTAAGAGACCCAAGAGATCATCGTGTCCCACCCTTTGCTTTACAGGTGAAGGAACTGAGGCCCAGACAAGGTCAGTGACTTGTCTAAGGTCACATAACTAATGAGTAGCAAAGGCAGGATTTAAATGCAGGTCCCTTGCTCCAAACCCTGGTTCTTTCTGCTCCCTCGTGTAATAATATTTTAAGTTTGTACAACACTTGGTAGTTTGCAAAGTGCATTATGTCCATGATCTTATCTGTGTCCTCCTAATAACTCTAGGGTGTAGGTAGTCCATCTCATATGTCTTTGACAGATGGTGAGACTGTGATTTGCCCAATGGCACATGGCAGAGGGAGAGCCCAGAGCACAAATCCATGGCTTCTCCCACTGCTTCATGGCAGCAGTGACTGAGGCAGCTGATAGCACAGGGGATCCGGCACTGGGCCTGGGCAAGTCACTTAACCTCTGTTGAAGGCTGTTTGAGGCTGCTTGCCTCAGTCCTCTCAACTATAAAAATGAGGACAATAACAACACTGACCTCCCAGGGTTGCTGTGAGGATAAATGAGATAATATTGATGAAGAAGCTCCTAGTCCAGTGCCTGGCACAAAGTAGGTGCTCTAGAAATGCTTATTACCTGTTCTTGCACCTGGCATGGGGTGCAGAAAAGGGAGAGTCAGAGTTAGAGGAGGTGACTGTGTCCTCAGCAGCCTTTGGAGTAGAAGTGACCAGCATCGGGTCCTCAGGTGGCTGTGGCCCAAGAGTGGGGAGGGTCATTTATGCAGCCACAGCAGCCTAGTGGCGTTGGCCTTGGAAGGCCCAGGGTTCCTTGCTCTCGATCACTGCTCATAAAGAAATGTTCTTGTGGATAATGTGGCCTCCTTTGATGGTGCTGGGACTAGAAGCCAGCTGGCCTGACTCTGCTCACACAGTTCAGCCCATCACTGCACCTGAACTTCTGATTCTTCTTTGGAGCACAGCAATTTGGTACGTGGCTTTGGATTGGGAGCCTTTTGAGAGGTCTGTGTCACATCTGCCGCTGTTTCTCCAGCGCCTTCCTAGCAGGGGGCTTTACACACAGTAGGCACTGAGTACATGGTTGTTCATCCCTCGATGAATACATGTTGAATTTCCTGAAGCCTTTCCTGTTGCCTTCCCTTCTTGCTATCCCTACTTCCTACCAAGAAAGGGGCTCATCAGACCCTCTCAGACCAGGACCCTTTTCCTCTCCAAGATTCTCTGCCCACTGGCTCCCATGGGAATGGATGACAGGCACCAGTCTGGGCAGGCAGGCCACTCACCTAGCAGTGATTGCTTTCCCACCTCCTTCACCTTATCCTTGCTACGTCGCCGCAGGTGACATTTAGCATCTCTGATTTTGAAGCGGGCTTTCTGCTTGACGGGGGGAACCAGAGAATCTGCAAAAAAGCCAAAGCAGAGGACCCCTCAGGGCATGCTGTTAGGGTGCCCGGCTGAGGGAGCACCTCAAGGTGGGGGCGTGAAGTTCCCCAGGAAGTTCTCCATCTCCCCTCCCCTGTCACCCAACAGTGATTAATGGTAGTTTGTCAGTTACTCTGACCGACAGCACCGTGTGACCTTTGGCCTTTTAGGTGACCTGAAAGAATCAGGAAGGGCTCAGAAGGTGTCAAGAACGTACTTACTCATGACCCTATCTATGGCACAGAATTATCACAGGCCAAACTCTTCACCGTTTTCTAAGCCTAAAACCTTGGGCACTTTGTACCACAAAAAAGCAGCAGACTTTCCTAGGGACAGTGAACACTTAGGATCACAAAGACAGGTAGGGAAAGCCAGCCAGGAATGAGAGCATTTACCAGCCATGCTGGGTCCACCATAGAGACCTGTCCTCTGGCTCACCATGTCTTCTTCCTTTCAATACAACAGTTTTTAGGACATTACAATCAGCTTTTCCGCACAGAGGAGGCAGAGGCAAAGTGACTTGCCCAGGGTCACACAGCTATTAAATGTCAGGGGCAGGGATTTGAACCCAGCCCTTCTTGCCTCCAGGCCCAGCACTCTGTCCATCACACAGAGTTGCCTTTCCTGATGACTCACTTTTCAAAGGATCATAGATTTAAGGAAAAACCTTTTGTTTGTGGTGGAGGCAAATGGCAAGTGCCTTGCAGTCTTAGAGTGTCTTGGGGGCAATGAGAGTTTCCAAGGATTTGCTTGGAGTCTGTGCCAGAGGTGGGGCTTGAACCCAGGTTCTCCTGCCTGAAGCCTTCTCTGTCTCCTCTACCCACTGCTAAAGAGAATCAGAGTATCCTGGAATCTTGTTCAGAAGCTTAGAATACTCTTAGTGTCTCAGCATCGTGGGGCTTCCTAGGTGAAGAAGAGAGCAGCTGGGTGTCGCAGTGCACAGAGAGCCAGACCTGGAGTCAGGAGGACCGAAGTTCAAATCCAGTCTCAGACACTTCCTAGCTGCGTGACCCTGGGCAAGTCACTTCACCCTGTTTTCCTCAGTTTCCTCAGTAAAATGAGTTGGACATGGAAATGGCAAACCCCTCTGTTATCTCTGCCAAGAAAACCCAGCTGGGTCACGAGGAGTTGGACATGACTGAGAAACAACTGGACAGCGACAACAACAGATAAAGAAGCCCCTCTTCTACCACACCACACTTATCAGATTGGCTAATGTGACAAAACAGGAAAGTGATCAATGTCAGAGAAGATGTGGGAAAATTGTAACACTAGTGCATTGTTGGTGGAGTGGTGAAATGATCCAACCATTCTGGAGAGCAATTTGGAACTGTGCCCGAAGGGCTATAAAAATGTGCATACCCTTTGACCCAGCAATAGCACTTCTAGGGCTGTATCCCAGAGAGATCGTACAAATGGGAAAAGGACCCACATGTACAAAAATATTGATAGCACCTCTTTTTGTGATGGCAAAGAATTGGAAATTGAGGGAACACCCATCCATTGGGGTATGGCTGAACAAGTTGTGGTATATGAATGGAATGAAATACTCTTGTGCTGTAAGAAATGATGAGCAGGCTGACTTCAGAAAAACCTGGAAAGGCTTGTATGGTCTGATGCCGAGTGGAGTGAGCAGAGCCAGGAGAACGTTGTACACGGTAACACGTTGTGCGAGGACTAACGTTGATAGACTTAGCCCTTCTCAGCAATACAAGGATCCAAGACATCTCCAAAGGTCTCGTGATGGAACGTGCTCTCCACATCCAGACAAAGCGCGATGGAGTCTGAATGCAGATTGAAGCCGACTGTTTGCTGTTTTTTTCTTCTGTTTTATCTTGTTTCCTCTTTCGGGTGGTTCCTCCTATTGGTTCTAATCCCTACTTACAACATCACTAATGTGAAAATATTTTCAATAGGAATGTATACGTATAGCCTATATCAGATTGCTCACCATCATGGGGAGGGAGGGGGAGAAAAATCTAAAACTCAAAAGCATATGGAAGTGATTGTTAATAAATCAAAATAAATTAATAAAAAATAAAAAGAAGCCCCTCTTCCACTCTTTCTGCTCAGTCAGCTTTATGTCTTCCAGGCCTTATGCATCTTCCCTGGGCCTGCACCATATGAGGCACCAGGCAGTGCTGGTTGAAGGAATAAATGAGAGGGGCTACCTGTGCAGCTGGGGACGGTCGTGTTGCGTTTCTGCTGAGACTTGCCCTGTTGTCCCGGGACGCCACAGCTCAGGGAGTAGCTGCTCTCCGAATCTGGGAAGGGCAGAAAGAGTGACACAGACACACCGAGGCTCTGACAAAAATCCTGGCAAAAATCCCTCCCTCAGAGTCCCTCAAATTAGCATGGTACCTCCCATGTAAACCAGAAGTTGTCTGAGAATGGAATGCCAACAATAATAATACCCAATAATCTGGGGGTGACTGGCCAAAGAGGGTTTCATCTGGGTACGTGTGCATCTATCTGCATATTTCCGATACATGTTTACTCTGGTCTGGATCTGTGATTTCATTGATCTCGAGATGGCCTGGGAAGGAAGCTTCCCTCACCTCTGCAGATCCACACTGGCTGTGCACATTCTAGTCTAGGAGAGCTGCTTGGGGGTGCGTGAGACATTCAGTGCCTTGCCCAGGGTCCCACAGCCAGAATGGGTCAGAGGGGAGCCCTGAGCCCAGTGTTCCTGACTGAAGCCAGCTCTGTGACCACCGCACCCCACTGCCTGATGATGCAGTAATGAGAATTCGTGCTAATAACAGAATGGCTGACCTTTGGACAGCCCTTTAGAGCCACAGCTCTGATTTCCTTAGCACTTCAAATTCCATACCGCACGCCCTCCTCCAACACAAGGCGTGTAGAGATGGTCGGATGAGTATTTTTATCCCCATTTTACAAGTGAAGACACGGAGGCTCAGAGGGGTGACAAACAGTGTGTCTCCCGGGCTCACACAGTTAATGAGCAGTGAAGCTGGGTCTCTCTGACCCCCAGTTTGGTGCTAGGTCTACTGGGCCTCACAGCTTTTTTCATGACAGTAAGAAAGATCCTGTATGATTGCAAATGGCTTTTTTTTCTTTTCAAAGCCCTTTCAGTGCCTAGTCATCCAAATACCCCCATGAGGTATTTTGTTATGTAATGGAAAGAGAGCTAAATTTGTAGTCAGAAGAGACCTGGGCCAAATCAGAGCCACTTAGTGACTCTCACTCTAGGCAGTTCCTGCTTAGGCCCCTGAGCTTCAGTCCACTCACCTGCAGAAGCGGGGATAACACTATTTGTGCGCCTCTAGTCCCCACTCTCCATTGTGATGACCCAATTAGATAATACATAGGAAATGCTTTAGCACTCCTAGAAGTGCCCCATCAGTGTAAGCTACTGACCCATTTCACAGATGGGGCAGCTGAGGCCCAGGGAGGTGAAGGAGCTCCCCAAAAGACACCCAGGTGATCAGGGCCCTGCTGAGACTCCAACTTTGATCTCCATTTTCCACTGTCCAATCCAATCCAACCCAACTTACATTTATTAAACACCTACTATGTGTTGACAATGCAAAAAAAAAAAAGTTCTTCTGAGAGCTTACGTTCCCCTGGGGGGATGTAAGGTGTACACTGTCTAGTGTAAACATGACCATGTGAGGGAAGTGGGAGTGCTAACATCTCAGGGGATCAGGGAAGGCTTGAAGGAGGCCAGGGATTCTATCCCGTGTTCCTTATGTTTGACTAGAAAAGCCAGGGAGCCTTCAACTGCCCTGGCTCAAGCCAAAGGAGAGAAATCTGTCTCCCTCCTCCCTTTGGGAGGGGCCTCGTAGCTGCTGGAGTTACCTGGAAGGAAGAGCGTGTTGGATGGGCAGGCCAGGAAGCAGGTCTCCAGGCCCCCAGTCCTGCTGCAGGCCAGCTGGATTCGAGGGGCTGCTTTTGCACCAGGGAGGCATTTCACTGTCTCTGAGGAGGAAGACATAAGAGGTCACACGCCCGTGCAAGGGCATCCTCAAGGAGGCAGCTCACGCAAGGATCAGGAATGTGAAAGGGGCTGGGGGTGGAGAAGGGATTTCTCAGAGCCCACTGCACCCACATCCAGGATGCCACATCAAGTCACTTCACTTCAACAAACATTTTTTAACCGCCAACTCGGCGCGGGGTCCCTGGTGAGACAGGCAGAATGCTCAGGAGCTCAGGCCTCAACTTCCAGCTACAGCTAGAAGGACCCATAGCAAGGCCCCTGTCCAGCCTTCTCAGAACGTGATTTAGGGTGCATTAGAGGAGGCAGAGGAATGAGGCAGAGGTCTCTTGGGCCAGAAGATCATTTCTGGGGTGCTGCATTTCATTCTGTGCCCCACCTCCGTAGGAGGACATTAACACATCGCCACTTATCTGGAATGGAGTCCCAGGATCAGCCGATTGACAAGTGTTGAGGACTAGGGATGGAGGAGCAGAGAAAGGACTGGAAGCATGGTGTGCAGGGACTGGCTGAAGGAGCTGGGTATGTGTGGCCTGGAGAAGAGCTGTAGGAGACCATGACTGCTACTTTTCACTATGTAAAGGTGCTGTCATGGGGGGAAGGCACAGGGGATGTTTTGTTGTCTGGCGCTGGCAGAGCCAGAAGCAAAGGGTGGCAGCCGTGGAGGCAGATTTAACTAAGCATGACCGTGAAAACTATTCCAAGAGGGCTGAGCTGTTGCTAGAGGTGGTGGTTTCCCCATCCATCCATCGTCCTCTTTGAGTGAAGTCTGTATGACCCCATGGTCAGGGTTATTGTGGGTAAGGGTCTTATTTAGGTTTACATTGGACTAGATGACCTTGGAGGCCACTTCCAACCCTGAGATCAGAAAAACATTGAAGACCTGAGATTCCGTGAGAAAATTGAGGATCCAAGAGAGAAAACAGCTTGTTCAAGATCTCACTGCCAATCGTGGCAGGCCTGGGACTAGTGTGAGGGGTCTTTTTCCTACTTTGCCCAGGACTGTTGTCTTCTGGGAGGAAGGGTCCCTTCTGCCAAGTCACTTAGCCTTAGAGACCAGAGTTGGACAGTGGGGAAGGTTTTGGCCCTGGAGTCCCAGAGTCTCAGCTTGAGTACACATTCTGCTGCTTATTCCTGGCATAACCCTTCTTAGACTTGTGCTCTATAAAATGACGAGGCTGGGTTCAATGACTCTTGCGAGGAGTCTTTGAGCTCTAAATCTGTCATTCTGTGATCCTGTAAGCCTGCCTCTGGTCTCTGGTGGCGCAGTTTCTCATCTTTCCACCGTGGTGATAACAGTAAGAATTGTCATCCCCTTCTGTTGGTCCAAAGACCGAGCCAGAGGGGATGGGGGAGCCCTTGGGACTTACTCACCAACGCAGTCCTTCTTATTCCAGTGGAGCTTCCTGCCAGCAGGACAGGAGCACTCCGAGCTGCCCATCGTATTGATGCATCCATAGTCACAGCTGCCGTTGTTGATGCTGCACTCATCGATATCTAGAAGCACAGAAGAGAAGAGCCGGCCTGGTGAGGGCAATGGGCCGGCACCTTTCTGACTGAAATGCAAACCTCAACACATAACAGGGAGAGAACATTTTGGGGGAAGGCTCACCAGTAAAAGAGAAGACAAACACCCAGAAATGGGCAGACAGCCAGGCAGAGGCATGGGGTGGAACAGAAGGGGTGCGCTGGGCTTGGGGAGAGGACACCAGAAGGCAAGGTCTCGGGGCTTTGCACTTACTCGTGTGGGTCCTTGGATGGAGTCCAAGCTCCTGGAGGGTAGGAAGGGTCTCTGTGTGCTCAAAGTCTAGCACAGCCCGCACATAGCATGTGCTCAGTAAGTATTTGTTGAATACTTAACTGTTGCTTACTAGCTATGTGACCTTGGACAAGTCACACCCCCTCTTTGTCCCTTATTTTTTTATCTGTAAAAAGAGGGGGGTGATACCAGGACTCCTGTTCCCCGAGGCTGTGGGGATGGTGACTACCCATTGAGATCGTGTGTACAAAGTGCAGCCTCTATGTCAGCTGCTGTTAGCCTTCATCAGATAGACACGGTGACAGAAACATGGAGACGTGCTTAAAGGCCTTGCCTCTCGGATTCCCGCCTAACTTTCTAGGCTTATTTCATTTGATGCCCTTTCACAAAATCTGCATTCCAGCAAAACTGGCTGAGAAGCTTTCTCTCCGACTTTATGTTCCTTCTTAAGTGTCCCTACCTTTGTAAGGCAGTCCCTCAGCTGTCGCATTCCTGCCTCTCACAATACTTTTCCTCCCTCAAAGCCCATCTCTGGCTAAAGTAAGCCTTTCCAGAACCCTTCAATCAGTTGGTATTCTCTCAAATTACCTTGAATTCACTGACCTGAGTGCCCATTAATCTCACACTCCCACCCCATGGACTGGACGGTTTTTGAAGGCCAGGATTATTTCATTTTGGTCTTTGTATACTTAGGCTGAGTATAGTGCCTTGTATACCAGGCATTTAGTAATTCTTGAAGTGAATAGAACAGACCCAGTCATAAATACCTCTAGGCACACAAAGTCACTCTGATAACCTATACAGTCACAAACACCCCCAGATGACAGACACACACAGACACACGTAGCAACTACAGTCTGACCATCACACCTGTAGCCGCATACATAATCAGACACAGTCATAGAGGTATACAGTATAACCAGGCCCAGTATGCCACATACACACACAATGACAAAAGCCATATGGAAGGGACCTTGGAAATGATAGAGTCCAAGCCCTCAGGAGGAAATAGGCCTGAGGGAAGAAGTGACTTCACTAACTTGGCACAGTGAGGCCAGGTCAAGGTCTCCAGCTCCAGCCATTGTCTAACTACCTCAGCCTTCCAAGGCTAGGGATGTTTCCCCCTCACCAACCCCAGGGTTTAGCCCCAGAGAGAGGACATGGGAGTGCCTGAGGTGCTCTTCCACCAACCCTGTCTTCTCCCCTTTTGCTAGTGCCCAGCTTCATGCTCCAAATCTCTTCCTGCTTCCCCACCCTGGCTTCAACCAGCACAACTGCATAGGAGGCAGACTCCCCACCCCTTCCTCCAACTCCTTCCTCCCATCCCCTCCCCAACCCTGGCTGATTTGCTCAAGACACCAGAATTCTTAGACACAGCTCTGATCCCCCCCCCCCAATACCTAGCTTCTCATAATAAATCATATTCTATTATAATGATGACTTGATTCAAGCCCATTATGGCTTTATATTTTTAAATCATACTTCAAGGGTGGGCAACCTACAGCCTTGAGGCCACATGTGGCCCTCTAGGTCCTCAAGTTTGGTCCCTTGACTGAATTTGGGACTTAGAGGGCCATACCCCTGGCTTTAGTCTGTAGTGTAATTCTTCTCTTTTTTGGACTTAAAAGTACTCCTTTCTTGTTTTCTCTTTTTTTATTTTTAGGCAATTGGGGTTAAGTGAATTGCCCAGGGTCACACTAAAACTATCCGTTTCAAGCTTTAAGAGAGATGCCCCTAGTTAGAGTAAATTAGCGTTTAGGTGAACAAGCCAATATTCACTCCTCCTATGTTGGAGCCATCATGAAAGGTGGAATGAGTAATGGGATCCTGGAGATTGACTACAGGTCTCAGCTCTGAACCAATATCTTAGTCTCTTCAAGCTTGCTTTCTTGTGCCTCAGTTTCCCCTTCTATAAAAGGAAGGGGGTAGGACTTAGATGATCTATAAATTCTTTTCCAACACTTGTGAGCGAGGGCTGCAGGGGAAAGAACGTTGGATTGAAAGCCACAGAATCACAGGGTTTCATAGTTGAACCAACTGTCTCGTTTCACTCATATCTGAATAGACCCCACTCCACAACTCACTGACCAGAGGCCAGCTGCTTCTTTGAAGACCTCCGGTGATGGAGAACTGGCAGACTATTTCCCTTTGGGGCAGCTCTCTCTGTTACATCAGGGTCCCATCTGGCCCTCTCCACCCCCACTCTGCACCCCTGCTGCTCTGCCATCCCTCCAAAGGGATAACAAAGTGCAGTTCGCATGACTGGTGACATCTAGCCTTGTTCCTCACACAGGCCTCTCTTCCTGGTCTAAACAGTCCCAGTTCCTTCATCTGGACTCACGTGGCTTGGTCTCTAATCTCACGCACTGTCCTGGTCCTCAGGATGGTCTCCAGCTTTCCCACACCTTTCTTAAAACACGGTGCCCAGAAGTAATCACAGCATTCCACATGTGATCTGACAGGGCACAGTGGTCAGCCCAGAAGCATCTATGAAGCACCTGCTATGCACCTGGGACTGTGCTAAGCACACGGTGGTAGGATTGTCACCTCTCTGGTGCTAGACACACTAAGCGGGGTAGAGGAGTGGGGCATGGGGAAGGGTTGAGGATTTCTGGGTAGACCTTGTGTGCATAGGATGACCAGATCTTCTTTTGGTACCTGCTACTTGGAATCCCTTTGCCTCCTTCCCCTTCCTCTTGCCATGGCCTTCTTCATTTGCCCCTCTCCTCACGCCTCTCTCCCTCTCCCCTGTGTCACACCAAGGGCCAAACCTCTGTTGCTGTTCTCTAAGGACAGCTCTGATCTGTGTCCTTATCCTCTTGTGGGTTTATTTTTTTTCATGTCTCTCGTTCATGATGTGGTCACAGGCTGTAGCTCTGGCTAAAGTCCCTAGGAAGGCTCTAGAGCTCATGGATTGGCCTCTTTCCTAGAAATCCACTTAGATCTGGGAGTAGGAGATGAGCCATTCTTGGAGCCTAAGGGAACCGGGGTTTGGCCACCGGCCAGTTTTTCACTTCCGTGCCCAGGAGCCCTTGCTTGGACAGGATAATAGAGACATGGACATAACAGATAATGACAGAGCTGGGAGGGCCCAGGAAGAAGAGATCCTTGAGGTCTTCCTCAGTTTGACCTGACCCAAGGGAGCAGTAGGTGCAGGGAGACCCCCTGGGCTTCTCATGACTGGAACAGGCTCCCAGAAGGATGAGTGGGGGGCAGGGAAAGCACTGATCAGGAGAAATGATGGGCAGGGGGTAAAGGTATCAGATGATTTAGATTAGGTTAGGGTGGGCTCCATGGCCCCCCACCCAAACAAACAAACAAACCTGGCTCAGGGCTGGGTCGAGAGGGTTCTAGACATGAGCTAAGAGATTTGGATTTGAATCTTGGCTCCTTTAGGCACTGTGTGACCATGAGAAAACTGCTTAACCTTTGTGGGTCTCAGCTTCCTCATCCATAAAATGGAGATTAACATATTTGCTTGACCTACTTTATAGGATTGTTAGGAGGAGAGCACTTTGTGAATCCTAAAGTGCTATTTAAATGAGAGCTATTATTATGATCGTTGTTGTTATTATTGCTGTGTCCTTCCCCCTCTTCCTTTCCCTTGCCTTTGGGTCTGTATTCTCTACCATGCTTGCTTTGAAACGATCACTGTCTCAACCAAAAGTCATCTAGCTGTCTGAAGTGATCCCTACCACAGAGACCTTACTAAGGCCTCTGTCAATGACTTAATGGATTTGTATGTCAACAGTAGGTAGATTTCCTAACCCAAAACAAGAAGCTCTAATGGTAGATCTTCAGGGCTTGTTGTTGGCCAGTGAGGGAGTTGTTTTGGATCCAGGACACTTCCCTGGAGCCTTTAAATCAATTTGTCCATCTACTTTGGGGTCTGGCGCTACCTCACCAGTGTTCCCTGCCCCTCTTGCCCCTTCCCTCAATACCTTGACTGACATTACCATGAAGGATGCATTGAAATAGAACTATGAACTGTTCGAATGGAAAGTGGACCTTAGAACATAGAACATGGAACATTAGAGCTAGAAAGGGCCTTAGGATGAACAACATTGCAGCTGGAAGGATGTTTAGGGATTGTTTAGGGTAATCTCTTCATTTTACAGATAAGGAGACTCGGGCCCAGAGACAGGGAGTGCCTTGCCCAATATTAATTTAACTTCTGATTTTTAAAATGTGTTCGCGATGTTATTTAATCGCTGCTTAATTTCTTTACCCCTTGAGGCCGCTGCTGCTTGCCCAGTTGCCTAGCCTACTTCCAGAAGGATCAGCCGCCCATCCCTCCCTCACCCCCCACCCCTTGCTAAAGAAGGAGCGACTCCAAACCTCCACAGTGGGTCAGGCCATACAGCGTGTAGCCTCGGTGACACAGGCACTCAAAGCTGCCTGGGGAGTTGATGCAGGTGTGGTCGCAGGTCCTCTCGAAGGAACACTCGTCTATGTCTGGGTGGGGGAAGGGAAGGGAGAAAGGACTGGTGAGGACCTCTGAATCATCGTCTCAGAGTCGGTCCAATGGCGGACCCCTACCTGAAGAAGTGCCCTCTCTTCCGGTCTTTGCTTGACAACCCCTGCCCCGGTGAGGAGGCACACGGCAGCCTCTTTTATTGAACTGCAGTGGGCTTCCTTCTAACGTTTCTCCATTGGTCTAATCCTCCTCCGTAGGACAACTTCTTAGATACTTATTCTCATGGAGTCTCAGAGTAGGATGGGACTTGAGGCTACCTGGTCTATAACCTGTATCTGAGCAGGAATCCTCTCATAGTTAATAAGCCATCAATCAACAGGCATTTATTAAACACCTCCTGTATACCAGCCACTGGGCTAAGTTCTGAGGATACAAATGCAAAAGTGAAAAAATTCCATGCCCTCATTCGTGAGCCTCATGGAGCTCATATTTGAATTGGTGAGAAATCATGTACATATATACAAGTGTATACAGAACATGTACAAAATGAACACAGGGTAATTGGGGTGGGGCACTAGTAGCTGGGAGGATCAGGAAAAACTTCACGGTGGGGCTGAAGGAGAGTTTTTAAGGAGATGAGGGATTTCAAGAGGTAGGAAGGAGGAAGGAGAATCTTCCATGCTTGAGGGGCAGTGAGTGCGAAGGCATGGGGACAGGAGAGGCCAATAGGGCAAGACTAAAGTATGTAAGGAGATGGGAAATGTAGGAAGGGTCTGGCCATGAAGAGTTTTCAGTGCCATACAGGAGGGTTTATATTTGATCCCAGAGGTAATAAGGAGCCACTGAAGTTTATTGGGTGGGGGATGAATGGCCAGATTTGCACATTATGGACATCCCTTTGGCAGCTGCGGGGACAATTAAGTGGAGCAGTGAGAGTGACCAGGCAACAATATGCCATCTAAACCCTGCTTGAGGAATTCCAGTGACAAAGAGATTCTTGGACGATGCACTCCATCGCTGAGCATCTCTTATTAGAAAAATCTGCTGTCCGGCTGAAATTAGCCTTCTTCACTTCCTACCCTTCACACCTACCTGTATCTCTATCACACTGGCTTGCACGTAGCAGACACCTAAGTGTGGTGAATTAACCAGAGTTGGGCCGGATGTTCAGGAGTTCAGCCACTAGGTGGCAGTGCAGATTGTAAAATCAGGCTACTTGGCCACATTTGGACTTGGGACTGTCCAGGTTTCAGATTCCTTACGATATACAGAGTCATATACTATAATATACAGAATCATAGATTTGGAAGTGCAGGAGACCCTCGCACACTTACAGAATTAGAGAGTTGGAAGGGGCCCGCTAAAGGATTCCCTGCTCCAATACACCAGACAAATGCTCCAGCCTCTACTTAAAGACCTTCCGGGAGGGTGATCCACCCCCTGGAGGCAAGTAATCCTACCACTGGACAGCTCTCATTCTTCTGAAGTTTTTACTGATGTCCCACCTAAGGTTTCCTCTTTGCCACTTCTCCCCATTGCTCCCAATTCTGCCCTTGGGCCAGAGAAAACGAATCCCCAGGCTAATTATGCCTGGGTCCTTCAACAGATTTTCGAAGATCCTTCACCGTCATGATAGCCTTGTTGTGGACACTGTCGCTTTTCAACATCCTTTGTAAGCCTTGGCACTCAGAGCTGAAAAATGCTAGAGATGAGGACTGACAAGGGCAGAGCTCAGTGGGAATATTGCCTCTGTTTTGCTGGAAGTTCTGCTCTTAAGGTAGCCCAAGATTCTTCTAGCTTTTATGTCAGCCACATTCTATTGCTAATTCATGTTGAGCTCTTCTTACTGGGCACTGAAACCCCCCAGATCTTTTTCAGAACTACTGATGTCTATCCAGGCCTCCTCCTGTGTAAAGCTGACTTTTTTTTAACTGAAGTATAAAAAATGTAAAAGCTAGTCTTAGCTTGAGTCAGTAAACAAGACCGGATTTTGCCCTGAGGCTTGCTTGGGGAGCCCTTCCTAGTAGCCTGTCAAGATCCTTTTGGAGCCTGACTGCCATCTAGTGTGTTAGCTTACCCACTCCTAGCCCTCACCCCACCCCGGCGTTGTCATTTGCCAGTCTGACAAACATGCCACCTGTACGTTTTTCTGAGTTGTTCATAAAAATGTCGAACAGCAGCCTGGGGCTAATCCCTGGGGCCCTCCTCTGGACACCTTCTGCCACGCAGACATCAAATCATTGGCAGCTGGTTTTTGATTCTGGTCATCCCACCAGCTCTGAATCCCTGTGATTGTATTGCCCTCTGGTTCAGTGTGGTCTAGGGCTACTGATCTGCACATAAGGATCTCTGTGGCAGGTGCATATTGGTTTAGTTGTAAAATATCATATTACCTAGGCTTTGTTGTATTTCTATTTATTTTGTTAAATATTTCTCAGTTTAATTAAGCTCCCAGTTTATTATGTATTTCCCAGTTTAATCTGGGTTGGGCCACACTCGAGTATTGTAGGCTGTGGGTGTTTGACACATCTGATCTGCTCCATACCTCTCCATCTTCTCCACAAGAATACAATAATGTATTTGATCAAAAGTTTTGCTGAAATCTAAGTAAATTATATCTATGGCTATATATACATACATACATACATACATACATATATATATATATATATATATATATATATATATATATATATATATATATATATATATATATATATATATATATATATATATGCCTCTATCATCTATCTATTCATCTGTCTATCTCTCTGTCTCTCCATATGTGGAGAAAATTGAAAATCCTCAGGGAGAAGCACCTTACCCAGGCTTTGCCCGGGTGGCCAGTGGAAGAACGCTTTCCTTGGATGGTGCCAAATGTCATTTGTTTTTAAGGCCATCGTGGAGAAAGTGCCAGTGGGATGTGGGTTCTGACACTCTACCTCTGGGCCTCTGTTTCCCCAACTGTAAAAAGAAGAGGTTTGACTAGATAGTGTTTCCGAGCCCTGCTGGCTCTAAGTGCCTTTGATTCCATGAAAATCCAAAGACAGTCCTGAGAGCAATGTTTAGGGATTGATTTGAGAAAAAGCCATCCTCGTGAGCCGGTCTGCATGTACTGCCACTAGGTGGTGCTCTTGAGCCATCAGTGCCAATTTCACCACTGTCCAGTGATACTCAAAGCTGGAAGGCATCTTGAGCTGATTGAGGCTTCATGTTAACCCCTTCATGCTGAAGAGGAGGAGAGTCAGATGCAGGAAACAGTGGCAGGGCAGCAGCCTGATGGCTTCCACCAGAGAACAGCTCTGGGGGAGGGAGGTCATTCCACTGGTCAAGCACACTGTTTCTTGTGTGGGGCTGTGGGTTAGGCACATGCCAGTGCCCACCACTAAGGATCTTCTAGGCTTTTCTGGGTGGTGTGGGTAGGGGAAGAGATAGGACCAGTACACAGAAAAGTAGGGAGAATTCCAGATAAGGCTCTCTAGGGCAGTCTGAAGAGGAGAGATCACTTTCAGCTGGGAGGATAAGACAAAACTTTATGGAGAAGGTGGTTCTCAAGCAATTAAATCCAGTTCAATTCCATAATGCTTATTAAGTGCTTCCAGTTCACAGAGCTTTGTAGTAGATGATAAGTGAGATGCAGAATTTGGGTAAGATTCTGTTATTGCCTTCAAGGAAGTTATAGGCCAGAAAGAGGGTTGGATGCAACACAGTTAACAGTAATTTATTAGAATGGGATTTAGCATATGATAAATTCAATTAAAAATAAAAATTTTCAAAAGGAAAAAGATTCAAGGAAGGAGGGATCCAGGAAGAATTCATGGAAGAATACTGGAACTGGGCCTTGAAGGAAGAGAAGGATTTCAATAGGTGGAGACGAAGAGGGAGTGTATTCTAAGCATGGGGAGGGAAGGAGGAAGGGCTATAGTAATGTGTATAAATGGGAGATGGCAGAATGGATTCAGGGAATAGCTAGGAGTCTAATTTGACTAGAACATAAGAGTAGGTAAAGGGCTAATAGAAAATGATCCTGGAAAGGTAGGATGAATCCAGATTGTGGAGGGCTTTGAATGCCAGGAAGGATGAATTTAGGGAACAGTGAATTGTCCCCATTCTTTAACAGGCTAACATCTCAGAATTGTTGGCTAGTGGCCCCTTCAAACCTTGGAGCCAGAATCTCCTGCCACCTGAGGTACCGGTGAAAATATTTCTTTCCATTAATTCATTAGAGATCAAGGTTGGGTTTTTCCAAAGGGTTAAAGGAAAATAAAGGTAAATCAAAAGCTTCAGGATAATGTAAAACATGAAGCTGATGGATTTCTAGAGCATGAGAGTCTTCTCAGAATCCTGGAATGTCAGTGATGTAAGTGTCCTTAGGAGCCGTCCTTAGGAGCCCTCTAGTGCAAGATATACTTGAAAAAGAACGTGTTCTGTAACCAGCCTGATGACACATCCCCCTCCTAAATTGGGGTTATAATTTAGGAAGGTCATGGATAAAGAGGATGGCCACCAGGGAAGGCCAGCCAGGATGGGCCAGGCCTCAAGCAGGCCTCCAGCTTGAGGAAATAATTGGAGGAATAGGAAATGTTTAGGCTGGAGGTCTGCAAGCAGGGTTGTGGGGGGAGAAATTCAAACTTAAGTACTGCTTGGACCAGATTCTCGGCCCGGCCCCCCTCAGCCCTGTCCTTTTGCCTCTAGGGTGCCATGACATTATGTACTTCATGTCTTCTTCTTCTTAATATTTTTGTAAGAACCAAATGGGCCCTGGTATGAAAAGAGCTTTGTAAAGTATTCGGGGCTCTGAGTTATTATTCCTGGGGCAGTGAGAGTGAATGAGGGTCTCATGGCAAACTTCAGACCTTCAGGTAGCAAAGAGAGACCCTACACTATGAATCACTTCATTACCACAGAGCCAAGTGACAGGGACTTCTAAGGGTCATCTTGTACTCATCACCGTAAAGAAATTGGATCAGGAGCCACACTAAGAGCAGACGCGTTTGCCGCCCTTTGAGGCTTGTCTGGTCCTTATCCTGGGCCACGTTCTCAGGACTGAAATCCGGAAGGGACCTGTGACAGTGCCTTGTCCAGCTCTCTCAGCTGAGAGGGGGAGGGGCTGACCCGGCTCACAGAGGCAGGAAGCAACAGAAATGCCGCAGACCCAAAGGCTCTCCCCCACCAGGCTGCCATCCTCAAGCACGAGGTCCCCGGCCCTCTTAGGAGGCTGGTGCAAGGTCCCAAGCCGGTTGGGAGGAGAAGCTGCAGCACTGTGGCCTGTGCCTTGGGCCAGGACTCAATAAGCCTCCGTTTGAGTCTGGGTCTGCGGTTCATTCCGTTTGTGACCTTGGGCAAGTCCTTTCCTTTCTCTCGGTCTCAGTTTTGTCTTCCAAAGTAAGGGGTTAGATTAGCTGGTATCTAAGGTCCCAGCTTGTTCTAAATCTTATGGCCTCTGAAGTCTCCTCTGTTTGATTCATTGCCAAGCAGAGCCCCTCCCCCAACAGCACTGCCTGACTCAGTTCTCCCTCTTCGGTACCGTCGGGCACAGGGGAGTGTGTAAGTCACCAGCACAGCTGGACAGAAGGAAGGTTTTAGAAAGAATTACCTTGACAGGTTCGTTCATCCGTTAGAAGCTTATAGCCTTTCTGGCAGCTGCATTCAAAGCTGCCTACTGTGTTCCTGCAGAAATGGTCACAGCCTCCACTGTTCACCAAGCACTCGTCGATGTCTACAGGGAGCAAAGAGGAAAAGTCAGTTCACAGGAAAACCAGAGACACATGAAATGTGCCTCCCCCTCCCCCATCCCCACCCTAGGGTCAGCACCAGCCCCCTAGCCTCGTATTCTAGTCACCAAGGTCATCAAGTATAAGCCCTTCGTTTCACAGATGATAGAGTCGAGTCCCAGTGGGGCAGACTAGAGCCCACACTTTGCTGCACTCTCTGCTTCCTCCAGAATGCACAGCGACTTGGGAAGAAGGGATTGTGGGCCCCAGAGTTAGAGGTGTGCTTCACTGAATGAGGCACATTGGCCTTAGATTCCAGAGACCTGGGGTCTAGTCTCGGCTCTTCCACCTAAAGTGGAACCAGTGGGACCAGGGGGTGGGGAGCTGCTGTCTAATACTAGAAGTGGCAGATGTTTGCAGGAGCCCCTCGTTCTGCCACCCCTTGGCAGCTCCAGGAAACCTGGCACAGTTCCAGTTAGTCTTCTGAAGTACCAGAAGGGAAGGGTGATGGGGGTCGACCTTTCTCATCGCATCGGCATTCGATGCCTTCCCAGCTTTCCGGGACAGGCTCCTCTGAGCCTAACTCTGAGAGCCGAGGCCGCAGATGTGTTCTCTGAATGGAAGTCAGCTCCTCTCTATCCTATGGCCACTTCCTTTCTGTGGGTGTTGGCTTGGCCTCCTTGTTTTTGGGGTCTGTCTTTGTGTTTGTTGGAGGGGGGTCGCTCAGAATCACAGAATGTCAAAGCCAGGAGGAACTGGAGAGACCATTTCATCCCAATCCTGATTCTACAGGGCAAAGAGGTGGGATAGTGGAAGTGATTTGGCTCCATTCACTCAGGTGGGACGTGGCAAAGAGAAAGCATTGCCTGGGTTTTCCAGCTCTCACAAAGTCAGTGACACTTTGTCCTTGACAATGCCTTCTGAGCCTTTTCTATTCTTTTAGGTGTTCCTGCATCAGAGGTTGAGGAACCCTGACACCATAGAAGCAATTGAGATGCAAATATACTTCTTAATTCATTCATCAAATTGTTCTTAATGAGAAGTATGTGCATAGTATATATGCAGCTTGTACTACCTCATAAAGCTAGCTAAGTTAACCTGTGTCAAATATCTCCAGAGTGCGACAAGACAAGAAGTAGTGTGGATCGGGGTTGGTCCTGGAGCCAGGACACCCAGGTTTCAATCCAATTGATGACACTAGCTTTGCGACTTCAGGCCCAGTGCGGAATGCAGCCCGGGAGAACCTTTGGCTTTTGTGGCTGCCTGGTGACCTGGTAGACATGAGCAACTCTTTGTCATGTCTCAAATCCAGTCTCACTGAGCATGTATGCTCAAGGCACTGTGATGTAGACATAGGAGTCTAAAAGGATTCCTGCCCTCAAGAAGCTTACAATGTAGGGAGAAAAGAGACATCCTGGCAAAGAGAGTAAGGGAGGATCTTATAATGAGGACCAAACAAATGGGATAGAAAATAAGAGCCAGAGGGGGAGTAAGGGGGGGAAGAGAGAGGGAGAGGAGGAGTTAGGGAGGATAAAGAGGGAGGGAGGGAGAGACAGAGACAGAGGCTGAGATAGAGACAGAGACAGAACACACATACACACACACACATGCACAGATCGATCACTATGTTTAAGGAGGGCTTCACCTGCTGAATTCCTATTCCTCTTTTAAAGTCCAAACCAAAGGCACTTCACCAGGAGGCCTTCTCCATCACCTCCATCACCAGGTCATTAGTGACCTCTCCCTGAGACAGACACTTGGCATGTTTTAGTACTTATACCGTGAACTATAACTCAGATTAGGGTTAGTGCACCAAACTAGCCCTTGAACTCTATAAGGTAAGGGACTGTGTCACCCACAGTGCTCTGCATACAGTAGACACTTGGGGGGAGTCATGGCTCACATCTCACTCTTCTGTCCAGCTTGTCCTCGTCGACTTCTCCCTCCCCTACTCCTCTGACTTTGACCTGAATCGTGTTCCCCTCTCCTCCCCTCCTCCCTTCCTCTGCTTTAGGTGGTCCCTCTACACCTCTCACCTGGGTAATTGCCCAGGGTGACACAACTCATGAGTGCTGGAGGCAGGCTTCAAACCTAGATTTTCCCAGCTCCCAGACTCTGTGCCCTAGCCAGCAGCCACACTGCCTCTGGTTGAGGATTTTGAAGAAGGGGGTTTCTGTTCAAGTACAATTTGAGCCAGAGGACCTAGGAGGTGCCTTCTAACCCTTTGAGTCTGTGAACCTCCATCTTCTCATTTACAGAGCAGAAATAACAGTCCCAGAGTCACTTGTTTTACCGGATCATTGGGAGGATGCAGTAAGATGACATTGGAGCGATTTAGAACCATAAAGTGTTGTGAATGCTGCTGCTGTCTTTCCCATTATGTTTGTTACATTTTTGGTCCTGCTCTTTTGTCAACAAGGTCTTCTCCGCCAAACACTGTAGGATGTCTGTGTTGGGACTTCCTTCTGAAACTTGGACCTTCTGAAATGTACAGGATGCAACCACTAACTGTGAAAACATTTGGAACAACCCAGAGGCCTGAACCACCTTCCTCTGTTTCTTTCCATTGGCTGTGGCAGCACCGACAGGGAGGAGGAAAATGATTTCCCTCAGTGGAGAAGACAGAGAATGGGGCATTTCACAGGAAAACACTCGGCTCCCAGCCTTCTCATGCTACAATTGGTTTGCATAAATTCCATCCTCTCCCCACCTTTCCCAACTATTTTTCTTTCCATGGCTATAAATATTGTTCTGTAGGAGGCATGTAAAATAACAAATCATTCTTCTCAGAAGAAAAGGAGGAGGGAAGGTAAGGGGGAAAGGGAGGTGCCCCAGTTTCCATTTGCATGATTTAACCATAGGATTTCAGAGCTGGAAGGAACGAACCTTAGGGGTTATTATCTAGTCCAAGCCTCCCATTTTACAGGGGAGGAAACTAAGTCCCAGAGTTCCCTGGTGACTTGACCAGAGTCATATGTATAATAATAGACCTAGGACTAGCCCCCAAGGCTTAGGACTCCACTTCTAGTTCTCTTGTTACTGTTGATTCTCCAACCTTTGTGTGTAACTGAGGGACTGCTGGGCCCAGGACTGTCCCAAAGCAAAGCCATGAAGGAGGTCATTTGTTGTAGTCTCACAGTTGTAAGGGGCCTCAGAGGTTGCCTCATTGAGTCTATCTTTGAGCAAGGATCAGCTCGACAGCATTCCTCAGTTGTCTCCTGGAACATATCATTCTACCTCTGTACAGCTCTTAACAACTTCCTTAACTTAAGGAAGTTATTCCTTAAATTTAGCCAATACCTGCCACTCTGAAACTTTCTTCCACTGCTCTTAATTCTGTAATCTGAGATCAGACAGATTAAATACAGTCCCTTTCCCAAAGAGAGCCCTTTGGATCACTGAAGACAGTGAGCATGTCCTCCCAAAGCCTTTCTTCTCCATGCATCCTTGTCTGGTGGAGTCTTCCTTCCTCTTGCCCTCCTGATGCTCTGCCTCTAAATCCTCTGTGTCCAGTGGGATCGTCGTCTGGGATGGTTGGCATGGATCCCTGGAGGCTGGGAGTCAGGAATCGGGGCTTCGTCGCAGACTCACTTGCTGATGGTGAATCCAGAATGTTAGCATTGGACTGAAACAGGGCCTCTTCTGTGACCTTGACATGATCATCCAGCCTCTGAGTAAACACCATTGATGTAGCTCTCTCAGGCACTTAAATGTTCACAAAGCCTTCAGATGCAAGTAGGGGACATATGGTTCTCCTTGTTTCACAGGTAAGGAAACAGAGGCCCAGTGAGAGGACGTGCTTGCCAGTGTCTCATAGATGCTTGGAGCCAGGACCTGAGCTCTCAGAGGTTATGTTGTCCAACACCTCGACCAACTGAAGGAACCCCTTGTAGAAAACTCTGGGCCCAGATGCCCCTCACTGAGTGGGAGGAGAAAAGAATAGCAATGGGCCAATCTCCCCTCCCACACTGTGGGCAACATAGACCTAGGTTAGGCCGTCCAATTCCCTGAGCCCCCTTCTTTTGACAATGTGGAGCAGTTTGGCTGGTACAAATCAGACAGGCAGCACAGAATTGAATCTGACTTTATAGTTTCTTCACCATTTGCTTTCAGTCTTGGTACACTCTATATGGGGTAATGGAATAGCCTAAGACTCAATCCTGAGCCCAAAGAGACTCCTGTGAAAAGCTTCTCCCTCCCAAAGGCAGTAGTCACTGGGCTGTAGTGGAAAGGATTCCTGGCCATGAACATAGAAAAGTCCTTCTACTGGAACCCTCATGAACTGGGTGACCCTGGGCAAAACACTTCTATCACTTGGGGTTTCAGTTACTCCATTTGTTAAATGAGAGGGTTGGATGATATGGTCTCTAAGACCCCTTCCTGGTCTGATATTGGTAGTTCTGAAACCTAAGACCAACACTGAGCACCATTATCTCAGGCTTCCTAGACTCAAGCATTAACCCTGTTGGCCACTTAGCTGCTCACACCAAATACTCCCCGTATGTCAACTAGCACGCTGTGAGTACAATGCCTGGCACAGAGTAAGCACTTAATAAATTCATTTCATTCATTCACCTGCTCATTCATTTACTCACTCATTCCAAATAACATCCTGTCTCTATAGCCACTAAATCATTCACAAATTAGCATCCTTCCTATTCCATGCAGCTAGGATAAGAAGGGGAGGTAGCAATTGGGGGAAGGAAATCCTTGCATCAAATATCCCATGGAAGTCTGATAACCAAGGTCTTTAGGGAATTAATACGTGTATAAAGTCAAGAGTATTTTCCAATGGACAAGATGTCAAAGGACATGAACAAACAGCTCTCAAAAGAATTACAAACCATTAACAACCATAGAAAAGATTGTTCCAAGTCACTAATAATAAGAGAAACACACAGGAAAGCAACTTGTGGGTTTTACCTTGGAGTTACTGGGCAAATTGGCAAACATGCCAAACGATGGAAATGATCAATATTGGAGGGGCTACAGACAGATAGGCATACTAACACACTATTGGTGGAGCTGTGATTTGCTATAACCTTCTGGAAAGCAATTTAGATGTTAGAAACTGACTAAAATGTCCATATTTGATCCAGAGGTCCTACTGCTAGGCATAGACTCCAAGGAGTTCAGAGACAAATAAAAATCCCACATGTACCAACATCCTCATGCTTTTTAGGGTAGAAAAAAACCAGAAAGAAAGCAAATGTTTATTGATTGGGAATGGCTGTGCCAATCGTGGAATGTGGATATATTAGATATAAGAAAGAATTAATTTAAGGGATACAGAAAAGCCAGGGAAGGAAAGAGAATCAGGGAAATAGCATAGACAATGATCACATCTATGTCTGTGGGAAGAATGAAAAACCAAAAGGGAATGTGGTGTTCATTATAATGACCAAGACTGGTCCTGGGGAGGAGCTGAGAAAATGTATGTCCTCTTCTCCCTTTGCAGAAGTGGAGGGAGCGTGGGCATGAAATCTTCCATAGATGTCACTTGGTGTGCTGGTCTACTTTGTTCCCTTTCTTGTTTTAGTCTTTGTTACAAAGGGTGGTTATGGGGGAGGGGGCTATCTTGGAAATAAAGGTGATAGAAAAAGCCAAGATTTCAATGACCATTTTTTTAAAAATGAGAGGGTTGAGATAATTTCTCATCTCTCTCTCTCTCTCCTTCTCTGTCTGTCTGTCTGTTTCTCTCTGTCTCTCTCTGTCTCTCTCTCTCACATACACACACACACACACACACACACACACACACACACACACACACACACATATGGAATCCAGCCTTCCTGAGTCATTGGGAAATTCTCTATCCTTCTATACCCACACTACTTTTTACTACTCATCATGATGGTTTCTGCTGCTGCTTCTACCACTAAGCCATTTTGAGTTTTGTTATGATTATCCTTAGAAATCTTAATGATTTGCACTTGAGAAATAGCATAAAAGACATTTATATTAATAATAACTGACATGCAGATAATTATTTATATATAGTAACAAGTAGCAGAAGTGGCCATGAACCTAGATCTTCGTGACTCCAGGTCCCTCCAGGCTGTCTCATTACTCAGCCATGCTGCTTCGTTGTCAAGAACCAGAAAAGGCGGGAGCTCTTTCCTATTGCAGGAGTGAAAGATGATAACAGATGGACAGATCAAGGCTTCCTAGTACTAGTGAAATATTTGGAGAATAAATAGTAAGACCTTCAAGAAGAAGATCTCCAGTGCATTGGGTAGACTTTTCATAGGAAATTGATGGAAAGACACATAGGCAAATCATACAGACCAAGAAGACATATAGAGGTTTTGATCTGAATTCCATGAGGTCTTGCTCACACCAATGAGATTGTTGGTCGACTGAAATATCACAGAATAATAATGAAAAACCCAGTTGGTTTTATGAGGGGACTGGTAGGTTCTCAGGTGTTATTGATGGGTGGCCCAGGAAATTTGTTCCCTGTAAATCCAGGTGTGGCAGATTAGCATCTGTGGCTCAGGCTTAACTGGGAAATTGCAAAGATAAAAGAAGAAAGAGAAGTCAGAGAAGGACACAGTAAGGACCTGCCTCCACCTGCCTGAGCCTAGATCTGCTCCAGGAGTGCCTAGCAAAGCTATGTACTTTGGATATCCAAGGGACCTTAGAAACAAGAGATTAGAGGACTCATTCACTCCATTCTTACCTGCCAAACTCATCTGAAAGTTGGGTGAAATAGTGGAATGGCCAGTGTGACTGCCCTGCCCAATTCCTTTGAGTTGGCTCCCAGAACTAATCTGACTAATGCTCCTCTCATTTGGCAGGATTGAAACCTACTCTGGACCAATCTGGAGTAATCACACTTCACTTGGGCAGCCAGCTTCTCTGAGATTGCGTCAGATCCCTGCCTTTTGACCAGGTCTCAGCCTTGTCCAAAATCTCGGCTGTGCAGCCCCTTCAGCCTGGGTAACAGGGATACCTGATGCACTAGACAGCGGAACTGAAGTCCTACAAGATCTTACTAGGCTGGAACTATGGGACAAATCTAACAAGATTAAAGTGATAGGAGGGGCTGTAAATTCTGAGTGAGGTCACAGGATTTGAGCAGGGAAGGGCCTTGCATCAGGATCAAGAGCTGGGAAAGACCTCTGAGATTGACTCTTTATGATACCAATGAGGGAAGAGAAGGGACAGACTCCAGGGTATAGAGTCAAGAGAGGGAAGAGCCCCCAGCCATGCCCAGGCTGGGAGGGCTGCGATCAGCCAAAAAGTTCACTCGAAAGAGATTTTAGTGATCTGCAGCTTCAGTTTGCCATCATAGGGTTGACCATTCAAAGGACAGGGTGTAGGGGAGATTCTCAGTCAGGTGGGGTTGGGCTTGATGACCTCTGAGGACCCTTCCAACTCCTTTGAATCTCCCCTCAAGGAGAATCTAGCCCCATGAAGGCCGCAGCAGTGGGATCTGTCTCTGCTATTCTATGATTCTCCCCTCTCCAGCTCATCTTTCACAGTTACTAAGTCAGCAAAGATTTAAGTGCCATTTTGTAGCAGGCAGAGTGCTAAGAGCTGAGGATACAAAGAGAGGCAAAAATGGTCCCTGCCCTCTGGGAGCTCGAAGTCTAATGAAAGGGACAATGTGCAAAAACGACCTAGAAACAAGATGTCTATGGGACGTCTAGGAGACGGGCCCAGGTGAGTGCACTGGCAACTGAGAAAGACTTCCTGCCCAAAGTGGGATTTTCATTGAGATGTGAAGGAACCAAGGAAGCCAGAGATGA